TTCTATTTCTGTCCATGCATTGTCAAGAGAGTTAGAAGAAGATTTCATAAAGTTGGTGATCTCCTATGTAGGATTTATGGTAGGACATGTGAAAAGAGTCATGTAGGATAAGAAGGCATGGACTGATGGTAATCTACATCATTGAAGGTATACTATATCAATGAAATCACAGGTCTATTGATGAACAGGTTGACATAAAATAAATGCAAGTCAATTTTTTCTGTATTTAGCTGTTCCAGTAAATCTAATTTCAGTATTTTATTTCAGTATTTGGAGGAAATTTATAAAAATTTTCCACATTTATTATGGCACTATAATAAACATGTCTTTCCAGTCATATCTGACCCCTTTAGGGTTTTCTTGGCAGAGATACTGGAGTGGTTTGCCATTTCTTTCTCCAGATCATTTTACAGATGAGGAAACTGAGGCAAACAGGGTTAAGTGACTTGCCCAGGGTCATATAGCTAGTACATGTCTGAGGCTGGATTTGAACTCATGAAGATGAGTTTTTCTGATTCCAAACCTAGCTGCTCCATAATAAATACAGTATATAATTTATATCATACTCTTATCAATACATTGGTGTGAGAGGGAAAATAGTATTATCCCGTTAGTTAAAAATGAAGAAAGGGAGTCTAAGAAAAGTGAAGTAACTTGCCCAGCTATAATTTTTTTTTGTCAGAATTGGTTGACTCCTGATTTTCTGACAAGTCTGGCACTTTTTAAATTATGCCCCACTGTCTCTCTGATTGGTGACATAAATTTTAAGATGTTATATAAAAAAAGCACTTTCCCAAACCATAGAAAAATGTTTGAATAAATTGCAATTAATGTCATCTGAAAAGAAATTGAAGAAATCATGAAAAATAAAGAAGCAGAAAAACAGTATATGACTATAACCATGTAGAAGAAAAAGTAAATAGAAGTAAATAGACAAAGAAAATTGATAAAGACTCAAGGAGAGTTGCTAACAAGTTGTTATGAACATTTTATGTGTAGCAAATTTATTTCGTTGTAAACAGTTGTAAAGCAAGGTTAATTTATTTTGATTTAAAATGTTCATAATTTTTTTTTAATAAAGAACACAGAAGAAAGAGTGGAACTTAATTTTTCTCATAATGGGGAATTGTGAGGTGGGTATATAGATGTGGAGAAGGGAGTAGGATGAGTAGGCATCATGTGAACTTCCCTCATCTGAAATGGGCAAATAAGGATTGAACACACATAGTATGGTCTCTAGAAAAATATCAAATTCAAAGAGAAACAAGCAGGGACAGGCCGGGAGCAGGGGGAGGGAGGTGTTGAGTGGAGTAGGGTAGGTCATGGGAAAGTAAACTTGAAAGGGAGGATATTCCTGGAGAGGGAATAGTCACAAGTAAAACAAACTTCCTGATCTTGAATTGGGAGGGGATCTTAAATGGGAGGGGAGAAAAGTAAAGAATCGAGATCTTTGCTTTTTTAGACAACCAGCAAACAGTTGAACAAATTGTGTTATGTGAATATAATGGGTTATTAACACACTATAAAAAAAATGGTCAAAGAGATCATTTCAGAGAATCCTTAGTAATGTGGACTGATGCAGGGTGAAGAGAGTGGAACAAAAATAACTTGGAAAGACTTAAGAGCTGTCATAGACGCAAAGGTATACATTGATGCAATGTCTCCAGAGGACCTATAATAATGTCATCGTCATCTTCTTTTCCTCATCTTCTTCTTCTCCTCCTCCTCCTCCTTCTTCCCAAAACAGAGAGACCAACATAGAGCCTTTAATTTTAATGGATTTTAAATTTACCTTAACACAACAACTTTCTACTCATATTAGTGTCATGAGCCTCCTGATCTCAAACCCATATAGTAAAAGAATCCTAGCTGCTATATATGACCTGTACATTTGAGTCAATGAAGAAAAAAAGGAAAAAAAATAAACTCTTAATATGGTCCAAGCATTGTGTTAAGCTCTGGAAATAGTTTTTAAAGACAGCCTCTCCCCTTAAGGAACTTACGTTTTAACAAAGAAAGACAACATATATAGGGTAGTGGAGACAAGAGAAAGGAATTTTGTTCTAAGGAAATGGAAGTGGTAGAGGTGAATACGTGTGGCAGGCTGGATGTGATGTGAAGGGTTACCCAGTAGCTGTAGTAGGCTAAGGACCATATTAAGAGTTTATTTTGTTTTCTTTGACTCAAATGTACAGGTCATATACAGCAGCTAGAATTCTTTTACTATGTGGGTTTGAGATCAGGAGGCTCATGACACTAATATGAGTAGAAAGTTGTTGTGTTAAGGTAAGTTTGAAATCCATTAAAATTAAAGGCTCTATGTTGGTCTCTCTGGAGGTTGTGGAATCTTGATCCTTTCTTTGGACATCATTAGATACCATAGGTCTTGAAATACAAATTTCATGGTAGAAGCATTTTGCCATTTTGTTAACACTGGCATACTTCCTATATCACCACTCCAGTCAGTATCTATTACAGGCTAAACACTGTATTAATTCCATTGCAATTATTTATCTCTTTCATATTAATTTTAGTATAAATCTAACAGTTGAAGATGTTTCTTGGGTATTTAACTCTACCCTGATTTTAGGTCTACTTTCATGCTATACATTTTCTTTATAATTTTCCTTCTCTTACATCTATGAATGACTCCAATCCTCCAGATTTATATTGGGGGGGAAAAAACCCTCCAACCTGTGAAACCAAACTCACCACCAGCACATGGAAGAATCCTTTTAAATAGCATTTGTTCAGTTGTTTCAGTTGTATCTGATTCTTTGTGACCCCTGTGGGGATTTGGCAAAGATACTGGAGTGGTTTGCCACTTCCTTCTCCAGCTCATTTTACAGATGAGGAAACTGAAGCAAACAGGGTTAAGTGACTTGCCCAGGGTAACAAATGGAGTTTCTGAGGCCACAGTTGAACTCAGGAAGATGAGTCTTCCTGACTCTAGGCTTGGCACTCTGTCAACTTCGATAACTAAAAACAATGTCAAAAGTAACAGACCCAGGCAGCCATTAGGTTTTTTGGACAACAAATCCTTATGTAATTTAACACTGAAATGCTTTCCACTTACATGCAAGTATGTTCCCTGTTGTTCTGTGTCACATCCATTTTTACACTTTTCTAGATAAAATTTTATGGCATCCTAAATTAATCTTTTCTTTCATAAATCCTTTGTCACATTGTCATTAGACAGCAGATCATACAAGATTTTTCTTACATGATATTATAAAAATATTATTTGAAATTCATATAATGAATGAATGCTGTATGCTAAACATTTGAGAATACAAATGAAAGAGTGCTTGCTCTCAAGGAGCTCCCAGTGTAATAGGAGAAGATAATGCAAGTAGGCGAGTTCATCTCCAGGTACATAGAAAGGACTGAAGCTCCAAGAAATCAAGACATACTGGACATCAGTTCTGCCTAGGGCCTTTCTGCTGCCCCAAAGGGTTTGCTCTGTGTTAGCCTGTACTTGGTGAGGAAGAGGGAAGTTAACAAAATCATATCCATTACTTTGTATTTACTCTGCAACCACAGTGCCTGGCATATAGGCACTTAAAAGTTTATTTAACTGAATTTAATGTACCCATGTGTGTATAACACCGGAACTTAAGGGTTGATAACAGGTACTCCCTGGTGAGGAAACTCTTTTTACCAATACAAGTCAGCACTTTCTCTGCAATTTATTGACTTAAGCGGCCTAAAAGCACAGAGGGGGTTAGGTTACTTGCCTCTTGGCCTTTCTGGCACTAGTACCGTTCTCTATCCATTAGGTCAGACGCTTCTTCAAGTTGTTAAGCATATTTATATAGCTTCCTACTTAACTTCCCACCTCCTAGATTGTTTTCCCCTTAGGGAATGTAGGCATAAGAGCAGATGCGGAATAAATACTTGCGGAGCTCTGCTCAAATTGCCTAGGTCCCCGCCCCCAGGGAGTTAAATACATTATCGAATTCTAATAACTGGGGGATGCAGAGGATTGCAGCTAGGAAGCACTGGTTTCAAGTTCCACCTTGGGCATGGCAAATCATTTAACCTTCTAAGATTCCGTTTCCCTACGTTTAAAACGGGGATGATAGCAATAGCACCGATCTCATAAGGTTGTTGTGAGGATCAAATCAAATAACATAGCAAATCCTAAATTGCGATACAAATGTTATTCTTCTTGTGATTACAGGGAAATAAGACAGAGCCTTCTTACTCTACCCCTCTTGGCCTCAATTCATAATGTGAGAAAACAGGGAAAAGCTACCTCGAGTAATCTTCGTGTTTTAGATCCTGTGAAATTTTAGAGCATTAGAGATTATCTATAATTTATCCTGTATCTATCCATTCACAAGCGTATCCCGGGTGGTTTTGTGCATCACATCTTTTTTTCACATCGTCCTCAATAAATTTTTTATGACAACCTAATCTTTTCTTGCATAAATGCAAGAAATTTATTGCACGTTCCCGACACCCGCCCCCCCCCCTTTGTATTCCCAGCATTTGGCACAGTGCACAGTACGTGCTTAATAAACGCTGATTGACTAATTGGGGTGGGCGTGAGGGTAGGTATCGGGTGGAAGCCACCAATCCCCAAACTAGTCATTTTTGCCTAAAGCACCGAGTTCCGATTTACCCCCAAGCCTGGGGGGGGGTCACTCCGTCCCCTCCCACTTTGGGAGACCGTACCCCGGGAGTACCCGGGGGCTGGGTGGGTGGGGAGGACGAGGTCGGAAGACCGTCTCGGGACGGGGACAGCAGCAGCGCCTAGGTCCGACTCAGGCCTCCCAGGCAGCGCCTCCAAATTGCATTTCGATAAGCCCGAGCCCCACACCCCGACAGTGCGAGTGAGATAGCGCGCTGCGGGTCCCACAGAAACCGAACCCGGCGGGCCCTCAGACACCGCAGCCCCCCTGCTGGAGCTCCGGCGTATGTCCGCGCCGCCCCAATTCTCGCGAGAGTTCGCACGAGGGTGCGGGGGAACCTCGCGAGGTCTCAGACCTGGCGGGAGGATCCGGGAGGGGGTGTTGGGAGGGGTGTTCCCTCACAGGCTCCAATTCCCAGGCCTCCGAGGACCCTGCCCCCTCTCCTCGGGCTCAGGGGAATTTTCCGTACTCCAGACCGGAACCGGAAGGTTCTCGAAGAGTGGAAAGGCGGGGCTAAAAAAATCCAAAAAAAAAAGCGCGGCCCGAGCGCCAGGGAACGAGTGTCGCCGTCCCCGTTGTCACGTCTCCGTGTCACGGCCCCTGACCCCGCGCCTCCTCCCCGGCTCCGTAGAGGTCCAGGCCTCGGCCTCGATGGACATCACGGCCAACCTGAAGTCTTTGCTGCTGGCCATCAGCCAGTACAAGGCAGTCAAGTCTGAGGCGAACAGCAGCCAGCTCCTGCGGCATTTGGAGGTGAGAGGCTGGCGAGGATGGTCCCGACCCCCAGAACCCCCGACACCCCGACCGGCTTACGCCCGCCCGGCTCCGAGGCCCCCCAGGAAAAATCCCAGGGCCAGGGGGCCGGGAAGGGACGAAAAGCACCCTGCCTTTTGCATCCCTATCTCTCACGGTGGAGCCCTCAGTTTCCCTATTTGTAAAATGGACAGAGTGAGAATTTGCACCATCTGCCTCCCAGAGGGGTTGTCAGGAAAGCCCTTCGTCCTGAGGAAAGTGCTTTTTTAAAAAAATGTTTTGCATGATTTCACACGCATAATTGATATTTTGTTTGCCTTCTCGATGGGTGGGGGAGGAAGAGAATTCAGAACTCAAAGTAAAAAGACAGAATGATAAAAAAATAATAAATTATTTTTAAAAGTGTTTTGTTAAATGCCAGATTGTTCTGTCACAGTTACTTTTTATTCTTGTTTTTTTTTTAAAAAAAAGCCAATTTCATCGATATCAGGTGAAGAACTCTTGATCTAGTGGTCAAACTCTCCTGATGACGTAAGTGACTTACCCAGGGTCACACAGCTAATGTCTGAGGCTATTTTTGAACTGAGGAAGATGAGTCTTCCTGACTCTGGCCTGGCATTCTATCCTCTGTGCTACCTAGCTACCCAATAAAAAAATTTATATATAAAATTTAGATCTATATTCTACCATGTCTTAGAATCCCAAACTGAATGGAACCTTGATCATCTATCCCAGGCTCATTTCACAGATGAAGAAACTGAGACTCATTTTATCCCCTTTTAAGGGAGGTGATGTGGAAGAGTTTGAATTGTACTTTCAAAAATCGCTAGCTTTCTCCCATCTAGATCTCCTTAGACCCCCTCCTCCAGTCACCCCAAACTACTTGGTCACTCCTAGATCCCTCCCACAGTTATTCTGTATGTAAGGTCCATCTTGTCTCCATTAAGATGCTCAGATTCTTATAATCTAGCCACTGCTTACTCATGTTCAGAGCCCAATATGGCAGATATACTAATAAACCTTGTCTTTGGCTGAGTTATAGATGAGGAAACTGAGGCCCAGTGAGGTGAATGAATTTGGGGGAAAAAATCACAAAAGTAATAACTAGATTTGTAAAATCTCAGTCGGACCTTCGAGGGTCTGATCCCTTTAGTTGTTAGGGCTCTGTTTTCATTCCTGAGGTTGTCCTGTACATACCTCCTCGTGTTTTATTCCCAACCCCATAGTGAGAATAATATATACTATAATGTTTTATGGTTTGCAGAATACTTTATTTACATGAGAGGCGAGTGCTTTTACTTCCGTTTCACCGGGAATGGGGGGTGGTGGTATGGGGGGTATGACGTTTAGAGAAGTTGTGACTTGTTCAGTGTTACACACCTTTAAAGTACTTGATGGGGAATTTGAACTCAGGTCTTCCTGACTTCAAATCCAACACTGTATCCATGAGGCCAGGCTGCTTTATAAGAATTATACACTTCTTGAGAGTAGATACTGTTTTTATGTTTTTTAATTTTCTCTGTTAGCTTCAGTAGGTAACAAGGCGGCAAATACTTTTTAGAATGGATGGATGTATATTCTGAAACCTGCCTATAATGTCCCTCTGTAAAATAGTCAAGTGGTCAAGATCTCCAAGGTGCAAAACTTAATGGTATTCCAGGTAGCCCAGTTAGGTCTCAGGCAGCACTAATTGTCTGTTTCAAGATTTACACTGATGAAAAGCTTCTCCATTAGGTAGCCAGTTACATTTTTCAGATAGCTCCAATTGTTAGGCTAAGGATAAGGACTAGACATGTAACTTCACTAGAATAGGGAACTTTCTCTTGCAATTTAGAGACTTGGAAAATTACATAGAGTACTGAATGTTTAAATGACTTGCCCCCCAGGTCTTCCTGGCTGGAGGGCTGCACTCAATTTTTTTATTTCTGGCCACCTCTTCCAATTGTTGCATCCTTTTAAACTTCTAGCCTTTGTTTTTTTTCTGCTCTCTGGAGCCACGTAGAATAAGTTTAATCCCTCTTTCATATGACAGTTTTTTCAAATATTTGAAGACCAGTCCTAATTGAATGTTTTAGCTATATAGTTGTTATTGCCAAAGTTGCTTTGTCTTGAAATACTTTATTAGCTTTTCCTTTCTTTTTTCCTGCAAATCTCGAAGGCCCACTTACTTCCTCATTGACTGTCCCCCTAGCCCATAGTTACTTTGAAATCCTGAAGAAATACTGTATTGCTTGGGATTATATACTTTCTTTACATTGTTTGCTATTTTTGTTTCTGTTTATTCTTACCTTCTTTTCCTACCAGATTGAATGATTCTGGAAGGACTAGTCTTATCCTTTGATTCAGGTGCTCAACAAATAACTGCTGAAGCCATATTGTATGTATTAAGTGATGAAGGGGATATCCCTGATGCAAAATAATAACTGACATTTGTATAGTTCTTTACAATCTGCAAATCCTTTCGGTTATATTAGTTTACTTGAACCTCTCACCAGCCTTTCGAGGTAGGAATTTGTAGGTGATGAAATGAGACTGAAAGGGTAATATGTTTTGTCTGCTAGAGTTAGAAAGCTGGTGATTTTTTTTTCCTCAGCCAAAGACAAGGTTTATTAGTATGTCTGCCATATTGGGCTCTGAACATGAGTAAGCAGTGGCTAGATTATAAGAATCTGAGCATCTTAATGGAGACAAGATGGACCTTACATACAGAATAACTGTGGGAGGGATCTAGGAGTGACCAAGTAGTTTGGGGTGACTGGAGGAGGGGGTCTAAGGAGATCTAGATGGGAGAAAGCTAGCGATTTTTGAAAGTACAATTCAAACTCTTCCACATCACCTCCCTTAAAAGGGGATAAAATGAGTCTCAGTTTCTTCATCTGTGAAATGAGCCTGGGATAGATGATCAAGGTTCCATTCAGTTTGGGATTCTAAGACATGGTAGAATATAGATCTAAATTTTATATATAAATTTTTTTATTGGGTAGCTAGGTAGCACAGAGGATAGAATGCCAGGCCAGAGTCAGGAAGACTCATCTTCCTCAGTTCAAAAATAGCCTCAGACATTAGCTGTGTGACCCTGGGCAAGTCACTTAAGTCATCAGTCAAATGACCTAGAGTAGGAAGTGGCAAACCATTCCAGTATGTTTATCAACAAAACCTACAAATGGGGCCATGAATAGTAGGACCCGACTGAAATGACTCAAAACCAATAAATTTTATGCAATAATAATAGCAGCTAACATTTATATAGCACTTACTATGGGCCAGGCATTGTGCTATGTGCTTTGCAATTATCATCTCATTTGATCCTCACAACAGCCCTTGAGAGGTAAGTGCTATTATTATCCCCATTTTACAGATGAGGAAACTGAGGCAAACAGAATAAGTGACTTGCTTAGGGTCACACAGCTAGAAAGTATTTGACAATATATTTGAACTCAGTTCTTCGTGACTCTAGGCCCAGTGCTCTATCCACTGTGCCATTTAGTTGCCTCTAATTTGATAGGTGCTTAGGGAATGCAAACTTATATTTGTATTAATCTTAAATAAAATATAATTGTAAAGGTAAATCTAGGCTGACAATTGAGAAAACTCGTTTTTAATTAGTGTTAACCCAATTTGACGGCATATGCAATATTCCACATCTTTAGTCCCTTCAGTTTTGCAAAGAAGGGAAGAAGGTGTGTTTAACTCATCTCTTCTTTGGAGCCAAACTGGGTCATTATAATTGCACAGCAGTCATTTTTGTGGTTTTGGTTTTGTTGTTTTTCCCATTTAGATTGTAATAGTCATGTTATATGTTTTTCTTTTTGGTTCTGTATCACTTGGCATATTTTCCTATGCTTCTATGTATTCAAATTTATTGTTTTAATGGAACAATAATATTCCTGTACATTTGTATACCACAGTTTGTTTAGCTATCTTTCAGTTAATAGGCATCTACTTTGTTTCCAGTCTTTTGCTGCCACAATAAATGTTGTTATAAATGTTTCTTTATTTGACCTCTTTGGAATATATACCTAGTAATAGGATCTTTCAGTCAAAGAGTATAAACATTTAAGTCATTTTCCTAACATAATTCCAGATTTTTTTCTAGGATGGTAGAACATAGCTCAGCCAATAGTATTTTGGTCTTCCTGTCTTTATACACTTCCTCCAGTGTTGATTCATCACATCTTTTGTTGTCTTTCCCAGTTTGGTGTGTATGAGGCAAAATGTGAGTTGTTTAATTTGCATTTCTTTTATTTTTAGTGATATGGAACAATCCTTTGTGTTAAGAGTTTGCAATTCTTTTGAGAACTGTTTGTTCATATCCTTTGAATAGTTATTCAAAATTCATTGCTTTAGTATTGATTGTTTTCCAGGTCATTTCTGGACAGAAACTTACTCGATGGTTTACATCAAACCAGATATTGCCAAGCGAATGCCTGAGCTGCCTGGTAGAGCTCCTTGAAGACCCAAATTTAAGCACTTCACTAACTTTAAGCATCATCAATCTGTTATCTCAACTAGGTAAGGTATCCATTTCACTTTCTTGTTCTAGAAGGAAGGGAGGTTGAAGTAAAAGAAAACAAAGCACTGCTGGTTTAGATGCTTTTAGTATAGTTTCCATAGGCCCAGAAGAGTAATTGGCCAGAAAATGATACTGATATATAGACATCAGACTTAGAAATATGCTGAAAAAACATGAAAATGCCTTAAAATAGTTGTAATTTGCAATCTTAAGGTACAAATAATTCTGATTTAAGTATGATTACTTCTAATTAATATTTGATACAATATATTAAAGTAACTATTTAAAGAAATAAATTATAATAGGCCACTTACTGTCATTGGTTCATTTTCATGCCTTTCTTAGAGGCAGCTGGGAAGAACTGAGTTAAATCAAAACACTTCCTAGCTGTGTGACCCTGAGCAAGTCACTTCACCTCTGTCTGCTTCAGTTACTTCATCTATAAAATGGTGATTATAATAGTACACACCTCCTAGATTCATCTAAGGATGAAATGAGAATATTTGTAAAGTGCTTTGTAAACCTTAAAGCACCATATAAAATACTAGTTGTGGTGGTGGCAGTTGTTTTAATAATATTGGAATTGTCCGAAAAGTTGCAGATAACACACACAGATAGCAATCAAGCAGCATTAAGTCTAATAGATTTTACCTGACTTTTCTTGTAGATTTCTCAGGGATCACATAAATATAAAGCTGAAAGGAACCTTATAGGCCATTTCCTTCAACCCTTCACTTAAAACATAAGGAAACAGGCTCAGGGATGTTCAGGGATTTGTTGAGCCCTGACTCTGGCAGGTTTCACCACTGTGTCTTGTCCCTACAAAGTGAACTGGCCTACAAAATGCAAGGAGAGTATAGTTTGCTGAATGACCTGTATTTTCACATGACTGAATAAACTGCTTCTTTTAATCTAATTTAAGTGTTTCTTGTCTTTGCCAGTGATGGTTTTTTGAAATAAAATAGGACAGACATATTCATACTAATGTTTAGAGGAGCTATGATCTGAACTGATGAAAGAAAAGCCCACACCAGTGAAATTACAGATTGTTGAAATATAGTTAGGTAAATCTTGTAGTAATAAAGGTGATAAGTTTGACATTTTAAACATGCTTATTTAACATATATGTGTGTGTGTGTATCTGTATCTATATATCTATAGATATATAGATACCATATACCATTTTATTTTACATTACAGCTCTAGACAATGATACCAGAGAGTGGCTGCAGAACACTTATAATCTGAATAGTATCCTGGCAGGAGTGGTATATCGAAGCAGTACTGTTCGTAATGACTCAGTATCATTGCAGGTACAAAATGAATTATTTTTACCTACTTTCTTTTCCTGTCCTTACTCATCAAGTGATAAGAATTGAATTAAAACAATAAATAATCTGTCATCATCAGTTAATTTAAAGTGTACCCACTAAGTTCTGGAGAATTTGCTGATTAGACATAGTCCTTGCCCTTGAGAAATTTAAAATTTGGTTGAACATGTCACTGTCATATAAAAGCTTTCAGTAGACAGGAATTTATCTTTATCTCTATGTAATTTAGAATAGTGCTAAATGAATGTAATTATGAACAAATTAATTTTGAGCTTAACTGGCTTTTGGCCAGTCATGCTAAGATGACCCTTTTCTGAGAAGGTGTCTAGTTCTAATGTGTTCTGAGGAATTTTAAATGGAATAGTAGTTTTAAATAGCTTGTGTTTATATAGCACTTTACAATTTACACAGTAGAATACTTTTTTCATAATAATGTGAGATAAATATTGCAAATGTTATCCACATTTTTACAAGTAAAATTGAGGCTCACAGAGGTTATGACTTGTTTATTGACATAGCTAATATTGGGTAAAGTCAGGACGCATGCATAGGTCTTCTAATTCCAGTCCACTAGTCTTTCCACTATACAGCTGTGTTTTAAAGAGTATTATTTGGCAAATTAGAAAAGAAAAGGATACCTCTGAGAGGGACAGTCATGAAATCAAGAGGGATAGAGACAAGATGGCCTAATTGGAGTAGAGTGTATAGGTAAGGGTAAATTAGGAGATGGGCAATTAGGTGGGGTCACTTTCTATCTCAGTATTTACTCAAAATAACTTGTTACATTTTTATAAAACCTTTCCTCACCAAATAGATTAATTGTTATTTCATTGTTTCATATTTCATTGGTATAAGGCAGGTATGGGGAACCTGTGGCCTTAAAGCCACATGTGGTCTTCTAGGTCCTTGAGTGTGCCCTTTTGACTGAGTTCAAGTTTTATAGAAACAAATTCGTTTATTAAGAGGATTTCTTCTGTGAAGTTTGGATTCCATCAGAAGGCCCCACTTGAGGACCTAGAGGGCTTCATGTGGCCTCAAGGCCACAGGTTCCCCACCTCTGGTATAGGGAATTCCTGTATGAGGAAACTGCATCTCTGCAATGTAGTCTTTTTTTTTTCTTTCTTTCTAACTTTTTTTGAAAAAATGACTTTGTCTCTGCATCTTGCCCAGGCTGGAAGTGCAGGGGTTATTCACAGTCTCACTACCAATCAATATGGCAGCTTTGACCTATTCCAACCAGAGCAGGTTTGACCCTCCTAAGTCAACCTGGTAGCCACCCACTTCCAGGAGAATCATATATCAATGCTGAATTTAGTGTAGACACCTGATCACATGATCCTGTTATAGCTCACAACACCTGAGCTTATGAGATCTGCCCCCTTAAGCCTCAGCTGGGATTATGGTCTACCATACTTAGCTTCAGTTTAGTCTTAAAGAGTGACCTTAAGCAGATTCAGCCTGAGCCAGAGTAATATAATTGGGAAATATTTGACAAGATAAATTAAAAATGCAATAGAGTATAGTTAATGTCAATATGTGATTTTTCTAAGTTAACATGTGGCCTACAGAGAACCTTATGTATTGTTTATTGGCCCCATTTTTATTTGGCTTTGATACCACAGACCTAGAGCTCTAAATAATTGACTTGCCACAGCCAGGATGTATCAGAGGCAGGACTTGAACCTAGGATGCAAAATTTTTTAATCTTAAACCTAGTCTCTATCAATGTAGTATACATTATATATTTAAGTGTATTTTTATATTTATATGTTAATAATCATTTTATTACCTGCAGTGCCTTCAACTCCTGCAGAAGCTGACCTACAGTGTCAAAGTTTTCCATTCTGGTGCCAATTTTGATGAGCTAATTACATTCTTGATAGGTCATATGTAAGTTATATATATGTATATTAATATACTATACCCATCCTTACTGTTTAAGAAAAATCTGTAGGCCATCTTTGAAACCAAAAATATGTTAAGTAGCTTTTTAGGCAAGTCATCTTTTTGTAGGGCCACTTTGTGATATAGGTTGTGATTCTGAGTTCTTGATGGGTATACAAATAAGCTCTAGAAGATCTAACCAAGGTGGAAGTAGTTGGTTACAGACTTGGAAATGAACTATGTGTCCATTATCCCAAGAACTAGGCTACTGAAATTAGAGGTGCCAGCAGCTTTGTAGATTGTGTAAGGATTTTGATCTGCCTTGGTGAAGCAAGTATTCCCATCTTTGAGTATTGAAGTAAATAGTATATTTATTTTTGTGGAAAAAAAATTCTCTTTCCTTTTTCCCCAATTTAAAAATCTTAGTGTTATAAAGTATCTCTCTATGTTAATAAGTTGAATTTGAGAAGTCCTATGGATTCAATTAGTATTATTACAGAATGGTTAAAGAAAAATATGAAGTCATAATTAAAATTTCTACATGGATTTAGTCTAACAACAAACGAATGAATAAAACATTTATTAAGCACTTACTATGTACAAGCTTTGTGTTAAGTTCTGGGGATACAAATAGAAAAAGTAAGACAATCCCAGCTCTCAAGGAATTCACATTCTAATGGGGGAAGATTTCAGATGCAAGTCATTTGGAAAGGTCTCATGATCCTTAAGATACAACACGTAGATCTTCATACCTTTTTAAAAAATGTTATTTCCTTTGATAAAATCATATCAGTTTTCAGTATACAAAGGAATGTACAGTTCATAGCCTCGACTTTTATTTGCAGTTTTTCCATGTTGAGATTGAATGATTTGGTTTCAAAATGTATTAAATTATTATTGTAGTTGAGTTTGACTTGTAAGAGTAAAAAGAAAAATGTTCACATTAACTGCTCTAGTTACTAGAAATCAAATGTTTAAAATGTGACTTACCATGTATCATTTTAAGTAGATTGGAATTCAACATAATGCAGTCTTTTTTTCCTTTTTTTGTTCTTCTGAAACAACATAGTCAATCTCCTGAGGATGAGTTAACAATGTCTTGTCTAGGACTCTTGGCAAATCTTTGTCGGCACAACTTAGCTGTTCAAACCCACGTAAAGTCTTTGGTAAGAATTCTTTTTAATATCTGTGTGTGTGTGTGTAATCTTCGAGCTCTTGTGTTGGGTTCTTTGTCTCAAGGAAATCTTATTACTTTGTTATTTAATTTGAAGATGTGTGTGTCCATATCCATTTTATCTGATGCTTCAGAGCTTATAAAAGAATTGACAAATAATCTAGAGTATTCCCATTTTTGAGTTATAGCACATGTAAAACACTGACTTTTCAACATAGTGTTATGTTGGAATCCCAAAGAAAACATGGTTTAAGAGTATATATGAGAAACGCTGGATTATTTTGTTAAAGGTTTAAAATCATAGTGGGTTCCTTCTAGGGTATCAACCCATTATTTTATGGCTCTCAAAGAATTCATTTATTAGTATTTATTTAAAATCATGAAACCTTGAATTGAAAAGACCTTATATATTATCTAGGCCTGTCCTTAAAAGGATAAAAAATTTGAGACCCAGAGAGTTTTAAGTGGCATGCCTCAAGTCATAGGCAGAGCCAGCGCTGGAACCCAAATTTTCCTAGTCTGGTTCATAATTCATCAAACATTTATTAAGTACTTGCTCTGTGCTAGAGATAAAAAGACAAAACTGAAATATGTTCTTCCCTTAAAGAGCATGCATTCTGTTGTATGTATGGAAGGTGGGGTGGGGAGGAGGTAAATACAAAATATTTCTTAGGGGGAGGGCACTGGCTATGGGGTGTTGTATCAGGATAGGACTTATAAGTCCTATCTTGTAGGTAAGTGACACTTGAGCTGAATCTAGGAATTTTAAGAAGCAAGTGCATGAGCTTTTACAAAAGCATGAAGATTAGAGATGGAATGTCCTGTATGAGAAGTAAGTAGACTTGTTTGGTTGGAATCATAATATGTGAAAGGAAGAAATGTAACCATAAAGTTTAGTGAAGTTACTTCACACAAGTAATAAGTGTCAGAACTGGCATTAAAACCCAGGTCTTTTCACTTCAGGTCATGACATTGATACATAAATCTAGCTCTCATTTAAGCATCTAGTACCCCTAAGCTTTTATTAGATTTAACTAAGTCATCTTGAAACAAAATTGGCTAGTTTCCCTTCCTCATCCCTAGCAATATTTGTGTGGACACAAAAGTAAATCTGTAGTCATTAGAAAGAAAGGAGAAAAAGGAAAGGATGTCAGTAACCCATTATTTGGATAATTAATTTCACCGGGTTGACTAGGCATTTGTTTTAATATAGCAATAGCAAATTTTTTTACAGGGAAATGATGAAATTTATTTAAGTAATCACACTTTTTAGTAACTGGATCATGTCACACTAAATTTCAGAAGGAATAAATCATATTATTCATCAAAAATACTTCCTACCCTCAAAGACCCAAACCACAGGCTTAGAAAATGACATAGCTACAAAGTTGTAAAGGACACTGTCCATGGTTTCGAGCGTTTACAATTGAACAGAGTGATAGAGTGTTTGTACAGTTACCTGTTACACAAAGCACAATGTTAGAAATATATGAATAATAACATTAATTTGAGTGCCAAGTGAAAGAGGGATTATTTCTGATTAGAATTATTAAGAAAGGGGTTAAGGAAGAGCTGGTATCTGAGCTGATACTTTAAAGATAGGTCAATTTTTTTGATAACTAAAGATAGGGGAAATGAGCATTTCAGGTGAATTCAGTAAAATATCGTATCTTTTTACAAGTACTTAGGATATAATGACAAAAACTAAATAGTCCTTTTCTCAAGGAGCTTATATTCTGATGAGTGTATAGTAAGCATACATAAATGAGTATGATAGAACACAGAGGATAATGGGAGCCACCAAGGAGAGATCTTGCTCTAGGAATATTTCAGAAGTGGGAGAATGCTCTTATTTGTCAGGAGCGGGGCAGAGGGAGGGGATCAAGGAAGTCTGTGCAGAGGCAGTGGTACCTGAGTGGAGTCTTAAAAAGAATTTTTTTTGGGGGGCTAGGCAGTGGGGTTAAGTGACTTGCCCAGGGTCACACAGCTAGTAAGTGTCATGTGTCTGAGGACGAATTTGAACTCAAGTCTTTCTGAGCCAGGAAATCTCTATCCTCTGCGCCACCTAGCTGCCCCAAAAGAACATATTCTTAAAAGCAAACATGTAGAAGGAGGGCATTCTAGGCCTCTGTAGAGGCGTGGAGGAGGGGAATAGAATTTCAGGTTCAGAGAACAGCTAGTAGTGCAGTTTGGCTGGAAGACAGAACTCATAAAAGGTAGTAATGTGAAACTATGCTGGAAATGGTAAGTTAGATTCAGATTTGAAGGACCTAAAACACTAGGTTAAGGAATTTAAAAGAAAATTTTTTTTTGCATTTCCATTTATTTTTAGTTTTCAGCATTTACTTCCACAAGATTTTGAGTTCCAAATTTTCACCCCCTCTCACCCCTCCCCCCACCTCAAGATGGCATGCAATCTGAATATCCCTTCCCCTAGTCTTCCCTCCCTTCTCTCTCTCCTTGCCTTCTCATATCCCCTTCCCCTTCTACTTTCCTGTAGGGCAGGATAGATTTCTGTACCCCATTTCTTGTATTTCTTATTTCTCAGTTGCGTGTGAAAACATTTTTTTTAAACATGTGTTTTTAAAATTTTGGGTTCCAGATTTTCTCTTTTCCTCCCTCCCCACCTACCCTCATTAAAAAGGCAAGCAACTCAATATAGGTTATACATGTGCAGTTATACAAAACCCTAGTAGGCATGTTGTGAAAAACTAACTCTATTTCCCTTAATCCTATCCTGCCCCCGCCCATTTATTCTGTTATTTCTTTTGACCCTGTCCCTCCTCAGAAGTGTTTGCTTCTGATTACCCCCTTTCCCAATCTGCCTTCCTCTCTATCATTCCCCTGTTCTCTTGTCCCCTTCTCCCCCTATTTTCCTGTAGGGTAAGACATATTTCCATAAGGAATTTTTATTTTAAAGGCAGTAAGAAAGTACTGACAATAATCAAGCAGAGGAGTGATATAGATGTGTGCCTTAGGAAGGTTATGTTGGCATCTTCAAGAAAGATCATTTAGAGATGTTATAAGAAGATCGATTAGGAGGCGATTGCATTATTCCATATAGTGGATGATAAGGCCCTCAGTTATGGTGATGACCTGGTGAATGGAGAGAAAGGAATCTGGTACTGGTTTAAAACTAAATGGGGAGTCTGCAGCCTTGAGGCCACCTGTGGCCCTCTAGGTCCTCAAGTGTGGCCCTTTGCCTGAATCCAGACTTCACAGAGCAAATCCTTTATTGAGGGGATTTGTTCTGTGAAGTTTGGACTCAGTCAAAAGACTGCATCCAAGGACCTAGAAGGCCACATGTAGGTTTCCCATGCCTGCTAGAGTGATCAGTGGAGTAGACTAGGTACACAACATACATAAGCAAACAAACCTAATAGCCTAGTTTTTGATAAAAACAGACCCCAGTTACTGGATAAGGACTCATTATTTGATAAAAATTGCTGGTAAAATTGAACAGCAATATGAAAGAAACTAGATTTAAGCTAACACCTTGCACCCTTGATAAATTCCAAGATAAGCTCCAAATGGATATGTGTCCTAGATTAGAAAAATGTAGGAAAAATTGTCCATCAAACCTATCAATAGAGGAAAAGTTCATGACCAAACAGGGGATAGAAAATATCACACAAGATAATATGTATAATTTTTATTATAAAATTTTTAAAGTCTTTCATAAATCCAGTAAAGTAAAGATTAAAAGGGAAATATTTAACTGGTAAAAATGTTTGCACAGGTTTCTCTGATAAAGGTCTCATTTCTAAGATACAAGATATATTCATTCTTTAAGTATGTGAACAGACAGTTTTTCAAGGGAAGAAACCCAGATTATCTATAACCATGTGAAGAAATGCTTCAAATCACTAATACTCAAAGAAATGCAAATTAAAATAGTTTTAAAGTTGTACTTCACATGCATCAGATTGGAAAAGATGACTAAAAGGGAAAATGGCAAATGTTGGAGGGGCTATGAGAAAACAGGCACATTGATTGACTGTTGGTGGGTTTGTGAATAAGTATGACCATTATGGAAAGTAATTTGGAGCCATACCAAGAAAGTTACTAAACACAGCATCCCCTTTGACCAAGATATTCCACTGCTAGATCTGTGCTCCAAAGAAGTGAAAGAAAGAGAAAAAGTTACTGTGTGTACAAAAATATTTATAGCAGCCCTTTTTGTGGTAGCAAAGAAACTACAAACTAAAGGGGTACATATCAAGGAAAGGCTTGGTAAATTGGGGTATATGAATGTGATGGAATACCTTTGTGCTATAGATGACTTTAAAGAAACACGAAAAAAAGCTTGTATGAACTGATATAGAATGAAATATGTAGAATTTATACTATGATGTCAATAGTATAAGAACAATTTTGAAGACTTTTATAAACTGATGAATGAGATAAGCAGGACCAGGAGAACAATTTATACATTTGTTTGTAAAGACAAATGACATTCAAAGCTATAAGAACTTTGATCAACACCATGACTGTCTGTGATTTCAGAGGGCTGATGATCAAGCATGCTAACCGCCTTCTGACCAGGAGGTGATGAATTCAGGATGAAGAATGAGACATATCTTTTCTGAGTACTACCAGTACTGGAATTTGTTTTGCTTTACATATTTGTTACAAGAATTTTTCCCCCCTAAATTGAGTGGGGATGGGAGAAGAAATTGGATTTCTGTTTATGAAAATTTTTTTTTATTTTAAAATGCCATGTTTACTTTTTTCTCATTTTTACATTTTTTAAAATTTTAATTTATTTTGATTTATCAATAATCACTTCCATATGCTTTTGAGTTTAAAATTTTTCTTCCCCTTCCTCCCCACCACCCTCCCCAAGATGGTGCACAATCTGATATAGGCTATGCATTTACATTCCTATGAAACATTTTCATATTAGTGGTGTTGTAAGTAAAAATTAAAACCAATAGGAGGAAACATTAGAAAGAGGAAACAACTCAACAGGAGAGAAAAAAATAGCAGTTCAACTTTCATAGTTCTTTCTTTGGATGTGGATAGCGTTTTTCATCACGAGGCCTCTGGAAATGTCTTAGATCCTTGTGTTGCTGGGAAGGGTTAAGTTTATCAGTATTGTGTGCAACATTCTCTTGGTTACAAAAATAATTTTTTTAAAAAAGAAAAGAAAATAGATTGTGGAAAGGAGAGGTAAGACTCAAGGATAATTCTAACTACTAAGAGAATAGTAGTGAGATGAATAAAACAAGGAAGTTTGGAGGATTGGGTTAGTAGAATACTGTTGAACAACCATTTATTAAGTATCTGCTGTGTACGAGGCACAAGGAATGTGGAATAAAAATAATTCATGTCCTCCAGGAGCTTACCTTCTGTCAGGATAATAGAGTAGGCAAAGAGAGAAGTAATCACAAGATAATTTGAGCAGGAAAAATCCCTTACAAAAAAAGGCAACCAAAAAAGTTGCATGTATGAATTGGAATCTGAACTAAGCCGTAAAAGAAAGCCAGACTTGTAAGTGGTAAGATTTTAAGGACATGAAAGGGAAGAGGAAAAGCATTCCTAAAATGGCAATAGACTGTGCAGAGTCATGGAGAATAGAGGGAGAAGGCTAAGTTTGGGAACAATGAGTAGGCTTGTGTTGCTAGCACATAGTTTTTGAGGGAGGACTAATGGCCATGTGTCTAGAACTGGAAGGAACCTCATTCCATTTAGTTTCTTGTTTTATAGGTAAGGCAATGTACATATAGTGTGAAAAAATCTCAAAAAGGTAAGCTGGAACCAGGTTGTGAAGGGCTTTGAATGCTAGGTTGAAGAATTTATGTATGATCCTAAAGGCAATAGGAAGACACTTAAGATTTTTGATCAGAGTGATATAATAGAACTATTTAAGGAATGCTAATTTGGTAGCACTCTGGAAGATAGATTGGGGAGAAGTAAAACTATCTCCAAATGACAACAGTATAAAAAATTGCAGAGGTCAAGTGAGTTGAGGATTGAGAAAATGCTATCAGATTTAGTGGTTGTAAAATCATTGGTAACCTTGAAAAGAGTGGTTTGATTCTGTTGGGGTTGGAAGTCGTGTTGTAAGCATTGTGAATTGGATATGTAAGCATAAGTGAATTAGAAGGGGGGAAATGGAGATGAGAATCATAGATAACTCTTTAGGAGTTTGGTCATGAGAGGGAAACAAGATGACCATTGGTTGGGGAGACTTTTTTTAAACATTGAAGAGAACTGGATTTTTTTTGTAAAGCAGCAGGAAAAATGGTAGTAATTATGGAAGGAGTATTGGTAAGAGGAAGTGATCAAAGGGCAAGCTTCCAGAGTATATAGGAAGAAATTGTATCAAGGGCAAAAGTAGAGGACTTGGCATTGGCAAGAAGGACCACCCTTTCCTCAGAGACTAGAACAAGGAAGAGAAAAGGGGGATAATATAAAGGAATTTTAAAGTGTGGTATAGTAGACAAAGTGCTGTTTTGGAAGCAGGTGGCTTCTATTAATTTAATTAGGAGGTGAGGATCCCTGCTGAGAGGAGTTTATATAAAGGACTTGGGAAGAGAAGGTTTGGAACAACCATGGTCAGTTCCGTGATGGTGTCATTCATGAAAGAAAAAAAGGACTGCTATATAGCATATAGGGCCCACTTGATACCAGATGGCTAAAATCTGTACTTGACATCATTACTTTTTCTACTAATGTACACCGTCAGAAGAAGGATCACGGGAAGATGTTGAGGGTAACTTAAGGTTGGCAGGCAGGGGTTGGAGTATGTTACTGGGGATAAGACAAGCAAGGGATAACAAGACATGGTGGCAAGAGTCAAGAAGGCAAGGTAGTCAAGAATAAAGGGAAGTATAGTTGAATTGTTAATCTATAGGTGTAAAAACTGAAGAGAATAAAGTCATCAGAGTTGATAAATTGGAAGATCAAGGCCATGTATAGTTACTGGAGACCCCAGGAAAGATGATGAATGATTTTAAGAGCAGTGAGGCAGAGGGAGACATGGAAGGGTAGGAAGTTATGGTCAGAGAAATTGGGTCAAGATTATAGAGCTAGTAGCATAGTTACAAGTAAGTGCTCTGAACTAGGATATATTTATCCCTGTGGGTTGCTGAGGTGAAGAGTTAAGGTTGATGAAGTGGGTATTTGAGAGGACATCGGTGTATATATTGGAGATTGTGTTTCATAGTGGCTAGAGTTGTAATCAAGAACACCAGCTCAGATACTTATTAGCTGTGTGACCTGAACAACTCATGTAACTTCTTCCAACTTCAGTTGCCTCATCTGTAAAGGAAGTGTTGTTTGGAGAGATCAGGCTTCTTGGGTGGATTATCAGTATGGAAGCTGAAATTGCTAAGCAAGTTGATTAGAGAAAAATGAGTCTGTAGGAAATATTAGTCAACTTTTGAAGTCATCAAGGAAGGTAGAAGTGTTTCCTAGAGGTTGAGAGACAAGGATGATAAGAATAGAAAGGAATAGTATAGTAGTGTGATATAGATTAGAAAGGAGAAAAATTAAAACATTTCATGGAACACTTATCAGATGAAGAGGTGAATAGTAATAGTTGGTAACTGTCTTGCTGAAGGGTACTGATTACAACAGTACAAAAGTTTTCAGTCTTCCAAGAGTATCCAAAAAAAATGATAGCTATTTTTTTTTTACTTTTTACTTAAATAGTATTTTCTTTTTTTTTCAATTACGTGTAAAGATAATTTTCAACATTCACTTTTATGAGATTTTGAGTTCCAAATTTTTCTCCCTTCCTCTTCCCTTCCCCCCTCCCCAAGACAACACGCAATCTGATCTAGATTGTACATGTACAGTCATATTAAACATATTTCCACAAAGAAGAATCAGAACAAAGGGGGAAAAAACCATGAGAAAGAAAAAACAAAATACAAAGTGAAAATAGTATGCTTCAATCTGCATTCAGATTCCATAGTTCTTTCTCTGGATGTTGATAGCATTTTCCATCATGAGTGTTTTGGAATTGCTTAGATCATTGTATTGCTGAGAAAAGCTAAGTCTGTCATAATTGATCATCATACATTGTTGTTATGGTATACAATGTTCTTCTGGTTCTGCTCACTTCACTCAGCATCAGTTCATATAAGTCTTTCCAGGTTTTTCTGAAGTCTGCCTGCTCATTTTTTCTTATAGCACAGTAGTATTCCATTACATTTATATACCGTAACTTATTCAGCCATTCCCCAGTTGATGGGCATCCCCTCAATTTCCAGTTTTTTGCCATCACAAAAAGAGCTGATAATAAGTATTTTTCTACGTGTGAATCCTTTTCCGTTTTTTGTGGTATTGCAGTTTTGTAGCCCTTTGTGCATAGTTCCAAATTGCTCTCCCGATTGGTTGGATCAGTTCACAACTCCACCAACAATGCATTAGTGTTCCAGTTTTCCCACATCTTCTCCAACATTTGTCATTTTCCTTTTCTGTCATATTAGCCAATTTGATAGGTGTGAGGTGGTACCTCAGAGCTGTTTTAATTCGTATTTCTCTAATCAATATTGATTTAGAGCATTTTTTCATATGATTATAGATAGCTCTAATTTCTTCAAAATGATGGCTGTTTGAATGGCCATACAGGAGAAGGATTAAAATGTATTTGATAGCATTTTCCACATATGGCTGGGCTGAAAGGAAAATAATGGCAAACTTTTTATGCTATCTTTGGGGTTGGGGTTTTGTGTTTTGCATAGCTGCTCATTTTTGTCAACAAAGTACCTTGTCTATGGAGGGTTTATAAGTGAGAGATCCTCATGAAGTATTATCTCTAAGGGTCTTTCCAGATCTGATTCTATGAACTATAATCCTTCATATTGGAACTTAGGAAAAAACTTGGTCCATTTAATAAAAGTAAGTGTCATGTTGCAGTTGGCCTCAGGAGCCTTTACTTGGGTATATACTTGGGGGACTTCTGTACTTTATTAATTGGATAAATGTTTATTGAGTACTTGCTCTGTGCACCTCATGTTCTTAGGAGAAGTAAAATACAATTTTAGCCTAAATCTAATTTATGTTAAATATTTTTTCTTCTTCAGAGTAATGTGAAGACATTATATCGTACTCTCATTAGTTTCTTGGCCCACAGTAGTTTAACTGTGGTTGTGTTTGCACTCTCAATATTATCAAGTCTAACATTAAATGAAGAGGTTGGAGAAAAGGTAAATATCGAGTGAGTTTTAAAACATAATTATAAACATAACTTATTTTAAATTTTCTCTGGTTTTAACAAATCATCACTGCTTTCATTGTTTTTTTTTTTGTTTTTGTTTTTGTACATATTGAACACCAATATCTGGTTCAGTTTTGTATGCATTACACCTCTTATATTTTGTTTTTGTTTTTAAGCTATTCCATTCTCGAAACATTCATCAGACTTTTCAGTTAATATTTAATATTCTTGTAAATGGTGATGGCACATTAACCAGAAAGTATTCAGTTGACCTGCTTATGGATCTTCTCAAGAACCCTAAAATTGCGGATTGTCTCACCAGGTACATCTATGTTCTCTTGGTAAACTTAGAGCTTTTCTTCTATACAAGTGTGTATTGAGAACCCTTCATTGCTAAAAATATAACTGTCATCTCTTCATCAGTCTCAGTGAAATTAATTTCTAATGAATCACTGAAGACTATAAGCAGGAATGTTTTAGCATTCTTCATTTCACTTATATTTTATCTTTGGCTTGAAATACAAAAAGGCAATATGTGATTCATGTATTAAATCAGGGATGTCAGACATATGGCCTATAAAATTCTTGAGTGCAGCTGACCCAGATTAAAATGTAATTGGCAAATATCTAGCAAAATAAATAAAAATACATTAAAACATAGATACGTTAAACATTGGAACTATATAATATGTGGTTTTCTAAGTCAGTATGCACAGATATTTAGCGGCCCCTGTTTCAGTTTGAGTTTGACATCACTGCCTTAAATGATTGGACCTGTCTTTTATCTTCTGAAATTCGGCTGTCTGGATTACCTTTATTCAAAAAATAATTAAAGAACAAAAATTGATTTTAAATATCAGATCAGAATGGCTTTTTATTTTAGTGGATGCTATTATTTATTATAACTAAGGTTCTGTTATAATTATTTATTATAACTAAGGTTCATCACTGGCATACTAAGCAACACTTTCTACCTTTTACTCTATTCTCTGTTTCCCTGCTATGTATTTCATTATACACTTAATTGATGTTGTTTAGTATTCTAAACTAAATTCCTCTAGAATTGCCTTAACCAGAGGTGTCAAACTCACGAAAGAGGAACCGGATCAAAATGTAATTGGGAAATTTTCAACAAATAAAAATACAGTATAATATAGATAATGCTAACTTATGCCTTTCTAAGTCAGTACGTGGCCTGCTCTGTTTCTATTTGAGTTTGACACCATTGGCCTAAACCATTGTCTATACTAGAGACTTTTTGAGATGAACATAGGAGATCATTGTAAGAATGGAGGATATACCTCAAGCATTTGGACAAAGTTGTGCATTTAGCATGTGTCCAATTAATATCCTCTGCAGTAAAATGGACTCTGACTTTTCCAGGATTTACTAGTGCCCTCCCCATGCTGTTCTTCCATTTTAGCATCGTATCTCTTTTCACAATTACCCTCTGATTTATCAATTCACATCTCCCTTGATGAGGTAGCAGATGGTATGCAATCTACTTTATTATGAACACCAAAATCCTATTGGGTACCACACCAATGAGAGACTCTTTCTCAATATCACATTTATTATGGGGAACATCCTTGTAATGGTAAGCATGGGGGTAAATGTTATGATTTGAATATAGGAGAACTGAAATAACTAAGAAATTAATGACTGGTTCATGAATACATAATTGTGTTGATTTCTAGGATTATAGGAGCTAGAGCTGAAAGGGACCTTAAATGTAGTTCAGTGCAACCCTGTCATTATATATATATTATATATATTAGAGAAATTGAGAACTACAGCATTAAAGTGACTTGCCCGAAGTCACAAAGTGTAAGTAAAAGAGCCAGTATTCCAAGTCAGGTCCTGACTCTAAAGTGCTCCTTCCAATATGCCACACTGTTCTATTCAGTAGATTTATACAACCTATGCATTTTTAGGCTCAAGATGGTCATGTGATATTTGAAGTCAAAATCCACATTTTAAGAAAAGCATTTTCCTTTTACTTTGGGAGCAGAAATTTTAAAAAATGTGTGTTATTGTGTTATGATTTTGTAATAGTGATGCTGTTTATCTTGGTTTATATTTAGATACGAACACTTCAACTCATGCCTTAATCAAGTATTAGGTCTTCTTCATGGGAAGGACCCTGATTCTTCTTCAAAGGTATATTTTTTTGATCTGATCTTTTGAGAATGTCATTTGTGATTCTTGAAAGCTACTTCAAATAAAACAAGACCTTTAATTTTTTGTATTATCAGTTTTAAAGGCAGGATTGAAAGTTGTTTTCATGTTAATTTTCATGTATTCAGTTAAATATGACTAACTTTTAAGTTTAGCATTTGATTTCACATGTTAATGTCCAGTCACATTGGTATTTAATAAGATCTCCTATGTTCATACTGCACAGGTTTTAGAATTACTTCTTGCCTTCTGTTCAGTGACACAACTGCGCCATGTTCTTAGTCAGGCGGTATTTGAATCACCTGCTTCTGGTAACACAAGACTGGGAAACCATCCTAAATCTTTAGAGCCAACAGTTGCTCTGTTACGTTGGTCAAGCCAGCCCTTGGAAGGATCAGACAACTGTTCTATTCTAGCACTGGAATTGTTCAAGGAAATATTTGAGGTAATGTGATAGTGATGATATCTTAATGTTATTCTTATTTGTGTGATATTGTATAACAAAAACCCTTTTTTGAAAGAAGTGTATCTCTAGGGAATTTAAAAAATTGATAGCTGTATTCTCTTCTACTTAGCTAGGTGGAAATATCTATAACTGCTAGTGCCTAAGTACTCCTCCATTAACATTTTTCTTACTTGCTTTTAATGTAGTTTGTTAACAGAAACAGTGGGAACTTTATTGATTTGATATCACTTTTTTGTAGTCAGCAACCAATATATCTAGTTAATACTGCCTACTAGCATTATAAGGTGTGTGCGCGCGTGCGCGCGCGCACACACACACACACACACACACACACACAGATATAGATATATAAGCTTATATAGCCTAATCTCATTAAGTCTTGGTGACTACATAGCTTAGCATTTCTCACATTGATGGCCTCTTCTCCAAAAGGGCTTCCCCTTGCAATTTGTCTGAGTCTTAGGTACAAGAGAGTGGTGTGCACATTTGGAGGTCCTTAGTAATGCTCATATTTTGAATTACTCATATTACTGGTCTTTTGTCTTGATCCTTGACCATTGTGTTTTTTAAAGCATTTTGAATGTGTTGAAACCTATATACAGTTTATTGTAAGTTTATTTGCAAAATATTAGACCAGCCAGGGGAACTGCTAACTTTCTTCACATTTGGCATTCTCTTCTTTCTTCCCATGCCTTTGCACAGGCTGGTCTGGAATGCTTTCCTTCTTAAAATCCTTTCAAAGTACAGCTCAAACATTACCTTACAAATGAAACTTTTGCTGATTCTGCCCTCTCCCAGGTGCTAGTGCATCTTGTCATCCAAATTACTGTGTATTTACTTTGTATATTTTTTATAATTACCAATATGCATACATATTATTTTCCCCAATAGAATATATCCTCCCTGAAGGCAGAGACTGTTTCATTTTTGTTTTTGTATTCCCCTGTGCCCAGTGGGGTGCTTGGCACATAGTGGGCACCTAATAAAGGCTCATTAATTCAGTAAATCTATTTCCTAGTTTTATTTTGCTGTTTTGGTTTTTTTTAATCACAACTAGGAAAGACCCAAGTTCTGGTCTAGCATGTAGTCACTGCTGGCTGTGTGACATGGGCAAGTTACTTAACCTTCCAGCGCTCTGGGTAGTTCTCTAAGACTATAAGTACTTTCCTGCAGGAGTAATGTTAGTCCTTCTACCACCAAGAGTTCCTGTATCAGTGAAATGAAAGGTACAGACTTTCTCCTCATTCCTTACTATAAGTAAGAGATTCTGAGTTTTAAATAAAAGCCTAAGTTTAGAATAACTAATATACCAGAATGCAAGAACTGAATAAAGAAAATTACTTAATTAAGGAAAAGAGATCTAAGTAGATAGCATAAGAAGAATGTTCAATAATGACCATTTCTTCTGTATGCCATGTTATAGCTAGCATTTGTATTGTTAATCCATGGTGTCTATGTAACCTCTACAGGATGTCATAGATTCTGCCAGCTGTTCCTCTACTGATCGTTTTCTTGCCCTGCTGTTGCCCAGCATTCTTGACCAGCTTCAGTTCGCAGAACAGAACCTTGATGACCTACTAACAAGGAAAAAATGTGAAAGAATGGCTAAGGCCATTGACATTTTGCTTAATATCCTCTGAAATGATGCAGAATATATGTGATATTTACTCTCCTAATTTTCCCAGTAAGATATTGAATTTGAATTTTCAGTTATGTTTTGTCACTCTTGATAGTGTTGTCTGCTCAGAATTACTAAGCTGGAATTTTAAAATCCCAGAATGATACATTTTAGTGAGAATATTCTAGCAAGTTGTCCCTTATTTTACCTTTTTCTTTTTAACTAAAAAAGTATAATTAAAACTTTAAACATGTATTTCAGTTAACGCTTTTAAAAATTGTATCTGATATTCCCATTGGAGTCTTAAAAGCAGGTTCTAAAGAGGCTGTTCATTTTCTTCTCTAGGCTATACTTTAACTTCTGATTGCTGCTGTGAAATAATTCTCTTTTTCTTTTCAAGTTTCATAGCAAGCTAAACAGTTAAGACATGAGAAAGTAAGTAAGTCTTTGCTTAGCACATGGCATCTTTTGTTTAATAGGCACTTAGGAGGTTAGTAATTGAATCCATAATTTCTTTAAAGCTGAACCCTCTCATATGTTCCCTCCTACTTGAAGCATTTCCTTTTTTCCTCAGTTGTTTGTGATTTCTGTCTCTGCTCAGATTTTCTGGTGGTAGAATCATATCATCTATGCATTTAATTTACATTCTACCAACTTGACAAAAAATGAGAAGAGAGAAAAATAATAATTTAGATAGTTTAGGTGGTTTTGTGCCACTCAATGAGCAGGCTGAAGTGAGAGATGAGACACATGAATTTGCTATTCCCACAGACAGGTCTCAGTTCCCTCAGGTCTCTTGTAGTGAGAACATCTTGCCTAAGGAGTGCGATTCTAGAATCTTTCTTCATTATTTTGTTATTGTTGTGCTTCAGTCATATCTGACTCTCCATGACACAATTTGGGGTAAAGATACTGGAGTGGTTTGCCATTTCCTTCTCCAGCTCATTTTACAGATAAGAAAACTGAGGCAAACAGTGTTAAGTGACTTGCCTAGGGTCACAGAGCTGGTGAATGAATGTCTGAGGCAGGATTTGAGCTCAGGTTCTCCTTACTCCAGTGCTGGTGCTCTTATCCACTGTGCCACCTAGCTGCCCTTCATCATATCTACAGTCTGTTCATTCTGATAAAGTTAGTAAAGCTAATCAAAGAAACAACCCTAATTGGTCAACTAGAAGATTCCTTCTTTGTTTCATTTGACTTCCTTGTATCCTCTCTAGACTGATGGTAAAGCAGGAAAAAGAACAGTTATATATGATTTCCCTCTAATATAATTGTGCTTACATGTTAAGCCCTTTCAAGAGTATTTTTCCCACGCCAGTTTTCCACAAGTTTTTGTTTTCTTCTATTTGAATAGAAGTCCCATTGCTCCCAGGCTTTCTCAGTCATGGCTTAGCTAGACATTATAAAAAATAAAATTTCCCTTCACTTGTTTCCATAGAAACCATCTTAGCTCCATCTTCTCTCTGATACAGACTGCCTTCTTTTAAAGACGTCCTGGCCCCTTTCCAGCTAGAACTGTAGAAAGTTACTATACTTTACTTTATGGATGACTTAAGGGAATTTCAAGAGTGATTTTGAAAATAACTACATTTTTGAATTTGACACTGATTTTCGAATATAATCTGCAATAAAATGTGAGTTCACTGTATCTGTGTACGTATTTTAGGCCCCCAGTAAAAAGTAAGCCCTTCTTTAGAATAGGGATTGTTTTCCCCCTTTATTCTTTGTATTTCTAGTACCTAGTACATTGCATGGTGCATAGTAGATGTTTAATAAATGTTAGCTGAACTAGAGTGCAGTAAATTGATGGATACATTGCCACATTTGTTGATACGTATTTCAATTCAGGAAGTATGTGTTAAGCCCTTGCCATTTGTCTGGTTATCATGCTGGGTTGCTAGAGTTACAAAGTTGAAAATGAAACCATCCCTCTTCTTCAGTAGCTTACATTCTGATGTAAAGAAATAAAATTATCATAAAACGAAGTGCTTAAATAATTTTTAATTAAAATAAACTATAAAACTCGATTTTTTTCTTTCTTTTTTCTTGTAAGTGCAGAATAGTACTCTTGGTTGTGTTTCTTCTAGTCATTACACTATTTTAGCTTCTGTAAGTCAGATGATAAGCAATCAGCATTCTACTTTGTTACTAACAAGAACTTCTCTTTCAAAAAAAAAAGAACCTCTTTCAGTCAACTGTCTTATCCTTTTAGAACAACTTGCTTTACTTAAGTTTGTCTTGTTCTCTGAACAATCTTCTCTTTTTAGTTCCCACTCCTCCTTTTTCTAAATAGTTGGGACATATGATTTCATTCTTTGTTCCTATTTAATACACTCAGGCTCAATATGGATTAATTACTTATCATGATTCAGAAATATGACAAACAAGTAGAAGAGCCTGACAAGATAACCAATATGTTAAAACAAATTAGGCCATCTTATAGCGTAGATGAGACAAATAGGTTTATTAACACTAACCTTCTCTCATCTTTAATAGTTTGTTAATGTGAGAGAAGTTTTTAAAATTTTCTCGTGTCTTATTGTTCCTTAACTAAATCTAGCTTTGTGTGGAGATGATATATTAAAAATGCATGTTGCTAAACTATTGACTACCCTCAGATGTACAACTCTAATAGAACAACAGTTTTCATGTAGCAAGATTGACATTGAGTTTGGAACAAAGGTAGCAGATTCTGAACTTTGGTGAGTATATTAAAGTAAATATTTTAAGAATTCATGCATATAGGAAAAAAAAGTCCAGGCTAGTTATTCTAGCCTGTTTTATAGACATGTTTTCTAAAGATCTAATAAGTATTTATTTCAAGAAGTGACAGAAAATCTATCTAGAAACTCTCAAATTAAATTTGCTTTTAACTTAAAAACGTAAATATTTGTCATTTGGTCCTTTGATAGTGGGAGGGGGGCACAGAAAGGAATGGGTATTGTGAAAATAAAACCCTGGTAGTTAGTTATCAACTTCTGAATAAGTTGGGCATCATAGCTTTGTGCTCAGATGAACCTACCAGAGGTATGTATATTCGTTTTATGTAAATACAAACAAATGAAAATAGATTTACATTATTAAAGATAAGTCAAAATAATTTATACTTTTGAAAATATTTTTAATTATGTTCTTTTCCCCAAATATGAAGAATTCTTATGAATTGAGAGTGTAAATGCTAGTTTTGTCTTTTCTCCCCTCTCCAAACCTTAATATAGATGAGGTCACTAAAAAAAGTTAAAGTTTGTTTTTTATTAATACTTTTGTGATACTTAAGGTATGCCGTGGCAAAATTCTGACTTTAGATTTTTGAGATTTTATATAACATGAATGTTGAAATGGAAAGGAAAAAGAATAAAAAATCTGTTTTGGAGCTGATTTTGGCCTCTAGAGGGCTTTTATACTATATCATCCTTGGCTCTTTTGGTAGAGGTGTGTTAAAATTTGGGAGCCTTTGGGAATTTCTTTTCCTCTGAAGCCCCTTCTAATACTTTCTCAGTACAAAAAAAAAAATGGAATCTTATTACAGGGAAATCTATCACTACCAACAATTCCATGCTGCTACTAGGGGGTACCTTTCCTGCGTTGAGATATCAAGAAATAAACTTTGGGATGGAATTTGGCATTTTCATTTAACATTTATATACCAATTTGGTAGTAATATGTTCTTAACATATATATTTAGAAATTGGACAAATTCATGGTAGCCCAATACAGAAAATTCCAACAGGTAATTATAAATGATAAATTCCTTAAGTTGGTATTATCATTTCTTTTGTACCTTGTAAGTATAAACAATATAGTACAGAACCTAACACAAAGTAGAAGCCTAGTTGAATGACTTTGTACTGACAAATCATCATAGATAACCATTTCTGTCCTGTTGATATAATCTAAAGAAAGAAACCAATAATTAAATTAGTCAGATTGATAATACTCCTGGCTTTGGTCTAGAAAGTTGGAGTATATTTATGGTAGAAGGGGCAGGAGAAAAAAAGACCTTTAAAGAAACTTCTACTGGTATTGCTATTACTGTTTGAACTGTGATTCTAGAGATTTCTGTCTCATAGAGTATTATCTTTTGACATCTCATATTAGTGATAACCCTCATCTTTTCCATAGTTTAAAAGGAAATAAGTACGATTTATCATGTTCTTCAGAGATATTGTGAGAAAACAAGCTTATCAATCTTGAATACTCTAATTTATATATACTTTGCCATTTTTGAAGCAAACATGCTGCAGAAGTCATTTTGAAAACACTTGATCTTATGAGTAGACTTAAACAGTTGATTCCTGGTATGGAAGTCACTTTCTACAAAATGCTTCAGGTAGGCTTTATTTTTTAAGTTCAGATAGAAACAATTAATCATAATTGAATATGTGCTCCAAAAATTTTCTGTCTGATGGGGTGATAATAAATGTTAGAGATAAGGGTGTGTAGAAGAGAGATGTTGTGAAGGTAAAAATGACAGTTTGGCAGCAGCTTGGATGGGGTGAGTAAGAGAGTAAGGAGTCAAAGGTGACATGTAGGTTTTGAGTCTGGGTGACTGGGAGAATGGTTGTACTCTTCACAGTACTAGAGAAGTTACAGGGGAAGGTGAGAGTTTTAGGGGAAAGATAACGAGTTCAGTTTTTGGGCATGTTGAGTTTAAGATTCTGTGAGACATCCAGTTCGAGATATCTAGTAGACATTTGGAAATGTGAGACTAGAGGTCAGGACTGAGGTTAGAACTGATTAAATCTAGAACTCTGCTATTTAGAGATGATAGATGAATCCATGGGAACTGATGACATAGTATAAGTATTTGTGAAAGAGTATAGAAGGAGAAGAGAAGAGGGCCCAAGACAGAACCTCGTGGGACACCTGTGGTTAATGGGCATGACTTGGATGAAGGTCCAACAAAGGAGACTGAAAAGGAATGGTTATCAGTCACTAAGCATTTAGTAAGTCTCTACTATGTGCCAAGCATTGTGCTCTCTTCTAGGAATACAAAGAAGGGCAAAAGATAATCCCTCCCCTTGAGTTCACAATCTAATGGTCAGGTATGAAGAGAAGTAGGAGAAAGCAGTGTCGCAAAAACCTAAAGAAAAAAGAATCTCAAGGAAAAGACAGAGACTACAGTATTAGAGGCTACAGAGAAGTCAAGAAGAATGAGTATTGAGAAAGGCCTTTAGACTTGGTGATTAAGAGATCAGTGGTAACTTTAGGAGAGATCAGTTTTCAGTTGAATGAGGTGATATGAAGTCAGACTGCAGAGGGTTAAGGAATTAGGAAGAAAGGAAGTAGAGGCATTGATTGTAGATAGTTTTCTCAAGGAGCTTAGCCAGAAAAGGGAGAAGAGATATAAGAAGATAGTTAGCAGGGATGGATGGATCGAGTGAGAGTTTTTTGAGGATCTGGAGACATGGGCATGTTTGTGGACAGTAGAGAAGAAGCCAGGTACACAAGGAGAGTTTGAAGATAAGTGAGAGAGTGGAGATGAGAAAGGGGGCAATCTGCTGGAGAAGACAGGATGGAATGGAATCAGTTGTAGAGGGTTTGCTTTATCAAGGAGATATCATGTGAAATAGGGGTGAAGATGGAGAAAATGTTAGAAGGCACCTTAGTGACATGAGATGAGAAGAGGGGAGGAAGCTCTTAGCAAAAAGCCTCAATTTTTTCAGTGAAGTATGAGGCAGAGTTCTCATCTGAGAATGTATATGGTTTGGGGAGGGGGGCATGGGGAATTTGAAGAGGGATGAAAAGATTTGGAAAACCCATTATCATGAGTAGAATAGTGAATGATTTAAGGAGGTGGAAAAGGACTGCCTTATCACAATGAGGGTTCAGTTAAGATTATGTAACATAAATGTGTAGTGGATCCAGTTGGCATAGTTTTGTGATTTTGTTGATTTTGTTTTCGTTGAGGAGTGTGTGGGTAGGGGCAAAGGCAGTAGATAGTGGAAGTGTTCCAGGACCAAGACTTGGCAGGGGAAAATCTTCAGTAGGATATGGAGGCAAGGGACTTGAGAGAGAGGACAGTGGAGAGTTGAACTGGTTCACGGTGGGGGGGGGCGCAAGATGAAGAAGGAAGGAGAATGTAGCTATGGTAGGGGTGAAGGCCTGGGAAAGAAGTGAGGGGTGGAAGGATTGGAAGTAAAAGTGAAGACAGAATAGCTTTTAGGGTTGTGCAGGGCAGAAGGAGAGGTAGAAAGACAACAGATTGTGATCAGTTAAAGGAATTAGAGTTTATGAACATGGAAGTTGTGCGTTTGTGGATGGTGGCAAGATCAAGCTTACGACCATCTCTGTGTGTAGCTGAAGTGGAGTGGAGGACTTGGTCATAGGAAGTGATTAAGTTCAGCAACTGGGAGGTTAGAGTGTTTGAGGGAGTATCAGTATATCTGTTCAAGTCATTTAGTATAAGAGTCTTTGAAAGAATAAAACAACTTGAAAATCAAAGTTTAAAAAAATTCTGTAATCCTCCTTTAAAGTCTTGTTATCATTATTTTCACTTAACAGCCTATCAGTAGCTCACTCCTGCACTTGCTCTCTTTCTCCCACTCCCTTCTTTTTCGTCCCTCGACTTCTTTTCGGGGGAGAAGGTTTCCCTTTCTCCTAATTAACTTGACTTTTACCAGGTGCTTTTTTCTTTGTTTAGGATCAGCGTTTGATTACTCCTTTAGCTTTTGCTTTAACATCAGAGAAGAGGGAACAAGTACAATGTGGACTTGGACTATTACTGGAAGCTGCACCACTACCAGACTTCCCTGCTGTGTGTAATTGAGTTATGGTTATTTGTATTACTAACAAAAAATTCTTTAATAATAAAAAACATAACCTGCATTTCTTGTATATAAACTTTTGGGATATAATCAATAAAATTACATAAACATATGAGAAAATACTGTAACATTTCATTGGTCTAGAATAATCAAGGAGAAGGTTAATCAATTTTTTAAAAATTGGAGAGAAATCTTAAGTTTTTATGATTTTTAAGACCTAAAATAGTTAATTACTGCTTAAGTAAAAGCCCTGATGGATCTCTCTCTTAATGAAGAGAAAACGATGATGTGTACTTATTTGTGTATAAGTAGATATAGAATGGTTCAAAAAGTGACTTTTGAAAGCAGTTTGTTTTTTTAAGCAGGTCCAGTTCATTCTGAACTTTTACCATTATTAATTTTCATTTGTTGGCAAAGCTTTTATTAGGACAAAAGTCAGCTTTAACTTATGCAGCGGCCAAGTAGCTCAAATTCTGAATTAACAAAGTCCTAATTGATACATGTTCCTGTAACAACATTGATAATGATTCTGGATGTGTCTGTATATGTATATGAGAGACAGCATAATATAATGGATAGAGAACTAGCCTTGGAGCCAGGAAAACCTAGGTTCAAGTCCCAAGTCTTAAATATACTTGCTCTGTCTTCCTGGGCAAGCTTTTTTTTCAGTGTAGATTCTCTAAGATAGTAAGTTGAAAAGAATGTAATTATCTATATTGATTGAGTTTCTTCTTCTAGGAGTTCCCTATACCAATGAAATCATAGGTCCAGTCTCTTTTTTTTCTCTCTTCTGATATAGATAGACATAAAGAAGTATGATGATTTGTTATGGTGTAGTAGTTTAGGGTAAATCTGTTTTGAGAGTTCCTTGTGTGTCCTGTCTTGATCGTTTTACTTCATGCAAGTGTGAGCTAATTTAATATTGAAATAATACAGTAACATTTCCTGTAATAAATATAGAAAAGAACTCATAACATCATTCAGTGATTCCCTAAAGTCTGTAGTGTATCATAGTGAAGGAAAAAAGAAACACACTAAGCTTCTATAGCTACCGTGGAGAATTCTAGCTGCAGAAGAATTGCCTCCTTACCTCTGTATAGTACTGGCCAACTTATTGTGTATATGAACTTAGATGTGTAAGTTAGTTGTTATCATAAGTTGTAGATTGTCAACATAGAAAATATTGTTGTGGATGGGAAGGAGTTGTATTCCAGATTTGTTTGCCAAAAGAATCATCACAGAAAACATTTGCAGACTTGTATTCTACAAGGACTAGCAAAATCATGGCTGGATTGTTTTATAATTTTGCATATACATGATTACATTATCCTGATTTTTGACTGAGTTTTTATGTTTATTTGTTTTCCATTCAGCCTTGGTGAAAGTATTGCAGCAAACAATGCGTATAGACACCAGGAAGCAGAGCATGTGCCCAAAAGAATCCATGTGCAATCAGTAACTCCAAATCTTTCAGCATCTCTAAAGGGCTCAGCTCACCTTTCAAATGATAGCATCCCTGGTTTAAACATTCAGGACCTAATACAGAAACTTCAGACTGGAATGGAGGTGAATGATACTTGCTAATTATCATGTGATAAAATAGAATGACTTGATATGGAAATCTCTTGCCAGAATTTATTCTTAAAAACCTATAGTAGGTTTGTGTAAAAAACTGAAAGAATTCTTACAATAATTGATTTTATACATGGTAGTCTCTTGCAGCAGCCAGGGTAGTGGGTAACATTTGTGATCCACACTTAAAAAACAAAACAAAACTGTTTTATATATTATTTTGCATAATGTTATACATTATCTTATGCTAGATTTGCAACTAAGTTCAAATGCTGTTTCTTGTTCTTTTCTATGTTAATGCTTGTAAAGATGAAGGATCAGATGTCTGATGTGAGAATATCTCTGACATAATGGATGTCTATGAAATGAAATTGTCTACATTAGCAGTAAGTAATTGCCATATTTTATCTTGAATAAATAAGGACAGCATTTTGGTTTTGTACAGATATTCTTCTTTACAAATAAATACTGCTGTTATCTGTTCTTGTCTTTTATAGTCCAAAGAAAGTAGGTTACAGGATCTTTTGGAAGCAAAAGCCTTAGCCCTTGCACAGGCTGATAGATTGATTGCTCAGTATCGTTGTCAAAGAACCCAAGCTGAATCAGAAGTGAGTACATTTTGTATATGTCAATCTGATGTTGATATGAGAAAAATAAAGGAAAACAGAAATTTTGCTTTCTAAGATTATGGGAAATGTTTAAGGACAAGCATATAAGGCTTATGTGCATGAAATATTTGAATAAATTAGAGAAGTCATAGAATAATCAAGCCAAATAAAAATACTATTTAAGTAATTTGGAGTCATTTGTTTTGAAGCACAGAATAGGTTTACTGATTTTATAAGATGGCATTGATGACAAGTAATTTCTATTTTAACGAATAGAGTTCACTTAGGAAAGCTATTTTGATATACCGTGGTCTGACCTAAAGTTAATAGTACTTTACTTTTCAGATTTTTCAGATTTCAGTCCTACAACTCTGATTTAAATTAAAAATTATTGTAGAAAAATATATTTACAATGCCCTGTCAATATAGCAATCAATTGCTTAATAAAAATAATATTGTTTTGATTTGGTATTTGTGCTTTTATCTGTAATGGAAGATGAAATCTATTTTCTGAGGACAAGGTCTAAGAGAAAGGTCTGTATCTCTTTGTATCCCCAGGACTTTGTACCTGATTGACATTTAGCAAAGAAGGGATGGGGGAAAGATAGAATAGAGATGTAAAAAAATCAATAAATATTTGTCTGATGCTGAGTGTGTTCACAAGGTGGTGTGCTAGGTGTCAGGAAAGTAGAATGGGTGAAGTGGGCTAGGATCGAAGTTAGCAAAATACTGTGGGGAAATGAGGTGTGAATATTTCAGTGGTTCTGTAATCTTGCAAATGCAAGCCATCTATACCTTCTTATCTTTATGACTTTTGTCCATGTCTTCCTCTAAATTCTCTACAGGGATCTATTAAATGTGATTGGGACATTCTTCTAGATCTTATGACATTGTTTAGATGCCATTAGAGCAGAATGCTGTTGTCTGATTATCCTTTCTTATTGCCTCGTGATTGACCTATTACCTTTTCTAGTCCTACAACTCTGATGATATCCTTTACACGGTTTTTCCTTTGCAACTCTTCTATTTATGCACTTCTCCATTGCCTTTGAATTGACCTAAAATTCTTATTCCTTGAAGATTGTAATTTTTTAAGACTTGCAACTCAATTTACTACTCATCTGTAGTGTTTGTCCACGAGACAAATAGTGGTTGACCAGCTTTATGGGTTATCCATCCAACTCACATAGCAGTCTAAACAAAAGGCATTCCTTAGCCAATTGATGTTTTTTTTCTGTGTGAATAATTAAGTGAAATTATTTTGAGTGTGAAGAGATTTCATTTAGAAGGCTCTGCAATATTGTAGAGCTTGATGTAATCAATCAGCACAGTATCCATCAGTAAAAAAAAAAAAGAACATCTGGAGGACTTCATCTATGTGAATTCCCTCTTATATTTGGATCCTACTGGATATCTTCCATGACCACGGCAGCATCTTTGGTGAGCATATGTCTCCCTTTTTTAAGCCATGTTTGATATTAATAATCAGAGGGTTGATGAGCAGTTTTCTGTTGTCTTTAATGGACTCATCATTTTAGTATATGTACAAGAAACACTTTATTTTAAGAGGCCCTTTCAGTCAGTGTTTTGCTTGACCACATAAAATAGTCTTTTTGTAGTCAGACAATAAAAACAGTAGGCTCTTGTATTCTTTACACGTTTCAGCTGTGTGACTTTAAAGGTGTATTCTCATCTAGAATATTATTTGTGAAAGCTTCCCCGTTTACTTTGCATAATTTAGCTAAGGATGCCCTTAATTTAGATATAGATATAAATTATTCTGAAAAATACTCCATAGAGCTTAGAAAATGGGCATGTGTCAAGAGTTGTCGATAAAGTTTATTATGTCTTCCAAATATTTAGACCCTTTTTTTCAGCAATTTTGGAATCATTTCCTTAAAACACTCAAAATTGTGTTACCTTTAGTACTTACTTCCTTTTTATATATTTGTATATAAACTAGTTCCTTCCATCTTTATTTTTTTTCAGTGCCTTTTCTACTTCCTCACATAGGACATGTTAAGAATTCAAATATAGGGAGTCCATTGTTATTGATAAGCAAGAGAATTTGTTATTTATATTCTATTTGTTTTTCTATTTTTTGTCTTTTCATTATCCTTCTAATTTCATCCTTTAGATATTTTTCAAAGGCTCTGTCTTAATTAAATTTCTCACCAGTTTTTTTGTAAACTTGTTTTTCCTTTTTATGCTTTGCAGTGTTTTGTGAAATTCTGTTCTCTTGCTTTTGAACTTTATTTTTAACATTGATTTTTAAAACTTTTGAATTCTAATTCTCCGGTTTCTTCCCTACCCATTGAGAAGGCAATTGAGAAGGCAAACAACATATGAATTATACATGTAAAGTCATACAAAACATATTTCCAAGTTAGCCATATTGAAAAGGAAAAAAAGTTAAAAAAAAGTAAAAAAAATATGCTCCAGTTTGTACTCGGAGTTCATCAGTTCTCTCTCTCTGGAGGTGGATAGCATTTTTCATCATGGGTCCTTTGGAATTATCTTGGATAGTTGTCGTGATCAGAATAGCTAAGTCTTTCACAGTTGATCATCTTTACAGTATTGCCTTTACCATGTATAATGTTCTCTTGGTTCTGTGCATTTCAGTTTGCATCAGTTCATATAAGTCTTTCCAGGTTTTTCTGAAACCGTCCTGCTTGTCATTTCTTATAGCCCAATAGTATTCCATCTGAATCATATACCACAACTTGTTCAGCTATCCCCAATTAATGGGCATCCCCTCAATATCCAATTCTTTGCCACCACAAAAAGAACTGTTATAAATATTTTTTCTATATATGGGTCCTTTTCCCTTTTCTTTGGTACTTTTGGGATACAGGCCTAGTAGTGATTTTGCTGGGTCAAAGGGTAAGCAGTTTTATAGTCCTTTGGGCATAGTTCCAAATTATTCTCCAGAGCAGTTGGAACAGTTCACAACTCCACCAATGATGTATTAATCTTCCAATTTTCCCACATCCCCTCTAGCATTTATCATTTTTCTTTTCTTTTTGCTTTTGTTTGTTTGTTTGTGTGTTTTATTTTTGTGCTAGGCAGTGGGGTTAAGTAACTTGCCCAGGGTCACACAGCTAGTAAGTGTCAAGTGTCTGAGGCCATATTTGAACTCAGGTCCTTCTGACTACAAGGCTGGTGCTTTATCCATTATGCCATCTAGCTGCCCCTATCATCTTTCTTTTCTGTCATGTCAGACAATCTTACAGGTTTGAAGTGGTATGTGAGTTGTTTTTATTTACATTTCTCTAAATCAGTAATGATTTAGAGCATTTTTTCCATGAGATCATTAATAGCTTTTATTTCTTCTTCTGAAACCCACCTGTTTGTATCCTTTGACCATTTGTAAATTGGGCGGTGGCTTTTATTTTGTATATTGGATTACTTTCCTGTATATTTGAGAAATGAGACCTTTATCAGAGAAACCTCCTGTAAAATTTTCTTTCTCCAGTTTCTTGCTTTCTAATTTTGGCTTACTTAGTTTTGTTTGTGCAAAATCTTTTTAATTTCATGTAATCAAAATTATCCATTTTGCTTCCTGTGATCCTTAGTTCTTCCCTTATCCATAAATCTGACAGGTAAAATTTTCCATGCTGCTCTAATTTGCTTATAATAGCACCCTTTATGTTTAAATCATGTGCCTATTTTGGTATATGATGTGAAACATTGGTCTGTGCCTTGTTTCTGTCAAAGTGCTTTCCAGTTTTCTGAGCAATTTTTGTCACATGGTGAGTTCTTGACCCAAAAGCTTTGATCTTTGGATTTATCAAACACTAGATTATTATGTTCATTTACTATTGTGTAATGTGTACCTAATGTATTCCACTGATCCACCACTTTATTTCTTAATTAGCATCAGATTGTTTTGATGATTACCACTTCATAATATAATTTGAAATCTGATAACTGCTAGGCTGTTTTCCTTCACATTTTTTTCATTGATTCTCAATATTTTTGGCATTTTATTCTTCCAGATGAATTTTGTTATTATTTTTTCTGGATCTATAAAATAATACTTCGGTAGTTGATTGGTATGGCACTGAATAAGTCAATTAATTTAGGGGGAATTGTCATTTTTTATTACATTTTTTGGCTTACCCATGAGCAATTAATATTTCTCCAGTTGTTTAGATCTAACTTATGTGAAAGGTGTTTTGTAATTGTGTTTATATAGTTTCTGGGTTTGTTTTGGCAAGTAAACTCCCAAGTATTTTGTATTGTCTGCACTTACTTTGAATGGAATTTCTGTCTTTTACAGCTGGTTGTGATATTCTCTTAACAAAGGAAATGAGCACTTAGCATGGTGCATAGCACCACAGTTGGCTCATAGTAAGTGCTTAATAAATATTACCTCATTTGATCCTCACAATAACCCTGGGAACTATTACTATTCCATTTTACAGTTGAGGAAACTAAGACAAACAGAAGTTAAGAAACTTGCCCAGAGTCACGCAGCTAGTAAATGACTGAGGCCAGATTTGAACTTTGGTCTTTCTGATAGATACAAGGTTTCCAAAATACATATTCCATGAGGTATGAGGTAAATTCCAATGGTTTGTAATTTACAAACCTTTTACCCTCTCTTTTCTCTTCCCCCTAAATGGTTTCCAAAATATCTTTTGCCAAATCAGCTCCTCTTCTAAACTTTCCTGTTTATTGGGAAGGCACCACCATTCTTTCAATGGCTTGGTGACCTTATCAATGTGAATGTTCACTTAGACAATTCAGATCACAGGCAGTACATGCCTTCCCATTGCCCATATCTTGCCATTAGTTTACCACAGGACATGACTTGACGTTGCAAAGATAACAGTGGAAGCCATAGGCCATCATTGCTTATCCTTTGCTCTTACCATGTGACCACCTCATATTTTTCAGTCATATTTCTTTGGTGAAATCATTACTTCAGTTCTTTGTAGTTCCTTATTTCTTGTATATTTCAGTTTGGTCTCTACCTTATGCTTCTCCATCTCTGAATGAATGATGCTTAGAAGTATCATTACATTATTTTATAACAGTACATGCTATAAAACAACACTGATAGGCTATTGATATTAGAAAGATGGCCTTTTATTTTAAAGGAGGAGTAGAAGATGATTAAAGAAGCGTTGCAGCCTTCTGAAAGCAATTGTGGACCTCTCTCATTGTATGTTTGTAGTGGCTCACAATTTGGATAGAAAACATTCTTTATCCATTTGGTTTTTCCTTATGTATGGTTAGGCCAGAATCATTTTAATAGTTATAGCTCTCATCCAGGAGACTCTGCAATGTTTTGAGGATTGATGCAATCAGTATGATGTCATTCCCATAGTGTATCTAGAGGATCTACCCCATCTACAGAGAATCCTTATCCAACTTGGACTCTGTGCCAGATCCCTTCCATGACTGTGGTGGAGACACTTGTCTAGCATACAATACTCCTCCCTATTTTATGCCTCACCTGATAGTAAATTATAAGAGGGCTATTGAATAAAAGTTTTCTCTGTTACATCTTTCCAATAAACTAGAATAATTTTGATTCATGCATAGGAGATACCTTCTTTGAAAAGATCTGAAATTTTGCTGGTTGGCTTTTGTTCTATCAAATTTTTAAAAAGTCAAGAAATAATAAGCATCATGAGATTTTGCATTCACAGTCAGTCTATAGGCACTTACTAAATACCTGCTATGTGTGAGGCACTGTACTAGGTATACTGGGGCACAAATAAAATTAATGAAACAATACTTGCTTGTGAAGTGCTTATGTTCTAGCAGGGAAAACAACAAGGACATATATACAGAATAAATGTAAAGAATAAATATAAGATAATTAAGGTTGGGTGGTTTGAGATCAAGAGAGACTTCACATAGAAGGTGGTGATTCAACTGTGTCTTAAAGAAAGAGAGGAATTCTGTGAGGCAGAGGTGATATGAGAAGTGCATTCCAGATACTTCAGTCAAATTGCATAATGATAAAAATGTGGTTGACCATGAAATATCACCTGTTTCCTACTAATACCTTCATCAAGGATTCCTTAGAGGTATTTGTGTAATCTTATTAAAAAATTTTTATATAGATGAGAAAGTTAGGCATTTAGGTCATTAGTTTGATGTTCTCTGTCCAGCTCTCCTCCCCCCTTCATGTGTACGTGAGTGTGGGTGGGTAGGTGTGGGTATGAGATTTTTTCCCATGCCTTTGATATCTTTCCTTCCTTATGTAAATGCTTTGGGATTAATCTCTCAGTGGTCACACAATTATATCATCTCCAATTCCCTATTTACATTTGTTATAATTCAGCAGCTCTCCCCACACTTATACTCTTTAGTGACATTGCTGTCTCTTCTCTAAGTTCGTTTAGATTTGTATGAGAGTCCAGGTGTGGTGGCTCCACTTTCCTGGTGGAGAAAAGGTTTTTGTTTTTTTTTTTAAATCTTTGCAAATTGGGCATGGTGGAACACACCTGTAATCTTCCTACTCTGGAGTCTGAGGTTGGTGGATTGCTTAAACTCTGGAGTTCTGAGGCTGCAGTGGGCTGAGTCAATTGGGTGTCTGTATCAAGTCCAGCACCTACTTAATGAACACCAGGGTGCAGGATGGGTTAAGGAGTGGCAAATCTGTCCAGGTCAAAAATGGAGCCAGTCAGAACTCCTGTGCTGAATAACTGTGGGGTCAGGCCTGTGAGTGACCAGTGCATTTCTAGTCTGGGTCAGATAAGGGATCCAGTCCCCCAAAAAACAACAAAAATTTTACATATGTTTTCCATTTCCGTATCTTTTCTGTTTCTTCTTAAATCCCCTCAACATGGCTTTGAATGAATAGTCTCTTTCCAAGCTTCTTTTAACCTGCTTCATTCTTTTTTACGAGGTAGTATTGTTCATAATCTATCATTTTCCACAAAGCAAATCACATTATACTAAATGTTATAAAACAATCTTTGTAGAGCAAAAATTTTAGCTTTAGCTGATGGCCCACTTATACCATATATACATTTACACCATAGTAAAGTATTTGGAATTCTCTATAATAGAATTTGGCCTGACAAATCATAGTGTTGTACAACAGTAGTACACTGAATCTTTGTTCTAATTGCTCTTTTGATATGCCTGTTGCTGTTTTCAAACCAATGTTTAACTTTGTTTTTGTTTACTTCAGTGCTGAACTGAGTGATTCACTAATGAATGAGGTTTGTTTTCATTTCCTGATTCAGATAGCATGGTCTTTTAAATCTCTCTTAAAGTCTTCATAAGAAGGATGTTCTACAAAATATGTTACCATGTACTTCTCTATTTTCTTCTAGTAGAATCAAGACTTTATCTAGATTCATTTTTGCTTTTAATGATGTATTAAACTTAAAATATTGAAAAATATTGAAGCTGCTCAGAACTTGAAAACTTGTCCCTTTTAATAAATACTTGTTAATTATTTTTTTCCTATTCAGATAATTGTATTATAGTCTTATGTCAGTCATACAAATTCATCTAGCCTGGATTTATCTTGCATGTTATTAAGTATTTCTTATTTCACCCACTTTACAAGCAAAGCAGCTCATAAGAAGAGTACATAAGGTACTGACTAGGTCTGTGAAATAAAATTGTAGCAGAGATTCTTAAACTCAGTCCATAAACTTTTGGAAAAAACAGATAAATATATGTAAATATAATTGATTTTCTTTATAATCCTATGTGTATATTAGTTTATACATTTAAAATCATTGAGAAAGGGATCCAAGAAACAACAAAGGTTAAGAACCTGTGTTTTTATTTGTTTTATTTGTTTTTTGAATCTGGGAATAATAATTATTGCCAAATCTAAAAGCAATCATAGCTACTATTATTCCTTCATCATTTCCTGTCATAGATACTTTAAATTTTTTAAAATGGAAAATGATTTTTTTCCTCTTATCATTATGCTAACTTAACTTTATATTTCTGCCTAGCCCTCATGTTGAATGTAGAGAGAGTTTTAGATTCTTATACTCATGTTGAATGCTTTGGTAAGAACAGGCTTCTTTAATACCAGATTTATATAAAGTTTTTTTTCTTTTAATATTTAGTTTTAGAGACTAAGATTAATCCCTTTACTGTGTCTAAAAAATGAAAACCAACTGCTGCTGTCTTTGCTATTCACTGTCTGGGTCAAAAGTTATTTTTAGAAAATAAAGTTAGAGAGACCAGCAAAGCAGACTTATACAAAAAGTCAGAATGAGTCAGAATTGCCTATCATTTTCTGCATATCAGTTGGAATTTAAGCGCCTTAATTTTTGTACTCCTTAATTGGAGCTTATTTTGAGAAATGTCAGCAGAATTATTCTCTCATTCCCAGTCCAAAAAAAAAAAGCCAAACAAAAACAGATACTGTTGCCTATTAGTGATATAAAAGAAAAGTCTGAACATCATTTTCGGATCATATTCTACCTTTTCTCACACCCAGGGCTTTTGCCCTAGGGGATCTTATTTAACTTTTTTATGAAGGAATTCAAAATTGCTAAACATGGGAAAGAGAGTTGTTAAATGGAAGAGCCAAGTCTCCACGGAGTGAATAGTGTGGTATGGATAACTACAGTTTATTTTTAAATAAATGTAGCTGTTTCCAATTAGAAACTGAGCATCTTTTAGTTTTACTGCATTGCGCCTTTGTCAAATGTCATATTCAGCCAATTTTGTAAATAATTCTCTACTTGTCTTCTGCTTTAAGTTGCTTGTGGATATACTGTCAAGAAAACTATAAAGCACCAATATAAATAGTTTTAGGTCATCAACTATTTAAAAGTGTCCCCTCCCCTTAGATTTTCTAAGCAGTGTAGCTTTTATTGAGATTTAATTTATTTGTGAAGATATTTTGAAAAGTTCATCCTGATAATTGTGACAAAAACTATGGAGAGTTTTTTTTAAGTACTTAATTTAAATATCAAATCGTATTTTAGAAGACAGATTTCAGATTTATCAGAAGTCACTAAGCATGTGCAAAAACCTTGATTTGGCATATAATTCCATGAAGTAAATTACAAAAAAATTACAAAAATAGACTTGTTTTGAATCAGTAGGAGTGAATCATGCTAACACATGGCAATGTAATAGTCTGTTTTTTTTGTGTTTTGTTTTAAGGCGAGGACCCTTGCTTCTATGTTGAGAGAAGTTGAGCGAAAAAATGAAGAGCTTGGAGTGTTACTGAAATCACAGCAGGTTGAATCAGAACGGGTCCAGAGTGATATTGAGCATCTGTTTCAACATAATAGGAAGTTACAAACTGTAGCTGAAGAACACGAAGTGCTGAAAAAGTCCTATATGGAACTTATTCAGAGGTTTAACAAAATTATTTCTGTGTAACATCAGTATTTTATATGTAAAGTGTAGGCAGCCCTAATTTACAAATGGTATATGTTTCTAACATTTGTTTGTAAATCAATTAATTGAAACTCAGAATTCATTTTCCCAAAGAAACAATGTTATTAATGGTAGTTAGGTTCCTAAATCAGCCCACAAAAGCCTTTTTAATTTGTGATGTATCTGCTATGTAGCACCCTGTAGTACATTTGGAGATATTCAGAGAGATAATGACTGATGACTTGAGATGTTTTAGAGGGATTTCATCCGTTAGGTAAAGGAGTAACATGCTGTCATTCTAAAATCTAACCACTATATGTAACCCATGTTTCTATGGGAAAATTCATTCTGAAATCGAAACTGAAGTGCCAGGAACATCTTCTCCCAATTCCCGAAGTGAGATTAGGGGTTACCACTACCTCATCTTCTGCTAGGCAATGGGAGCAAGTAATGTTGCCAAATAAGCCTGGGATGAAAGCTTTAGTGAGACTTAGAGGAGTATCTGAAAATCCCCCCTCTGAACTAGCCTTGGGGTAAAGTAAGAAGAACAAGATGGGAAGATGATCCTAGAAGACAGCAACCAGAGAAGGTGGGGAATCCCAAAATATCAGTCAGACCACTTGACTTAATCAGCTGCACCTAGTTAGGATAATTGTTCAAGTGTTAAACATGTACATAAAGTTTGAGACTGCCTATGTTGCATTTGTTTTCTGAAAAGCTAATCTCACTTCACTATTAATACTCAAACCTGCGTTGACATGGCATCCATTTATGACATTCCATACATTCTATGGCATAGAAGATAAAGGGTCACTAGGGTAATCTAGAGACCAAGACCTTTAACTGTGTGTCTTTAGATATTTTGTTGCCCCCTTAGCCCATTAATTCTGGAAGACATTCGTTGGACAAGATGTATGTTTCATGATCATGAATAAAAGTCTGTTAAGACACTTTATGAAAGCACAGCAGTTCTTTCCCAGTATACATAAGCAGTATCTTGACTGGAGGAATACAAACCAACCCACTTTAAACTGGATGGCAAGCTCCTTTATAATCTTTAAAAGAAGCACCATTTAGCGCAACATTGACACAGATTCTTTTATCGATGTGATATTATCAAGTAATTATATGATGAGCTGTTGGCCTAAGGTTGTTGGGAAAGCTAAGGCCAAAATACAGGTCTCATGTCCAGTTAATCCTCTTCTCACTTTCCTCCATTGCTTGCTGTTGTTATTAGTCATAGTAATGATTCCTAATGTTTATATAGCACCTACTATGTGCCAGACACTGTAAGTGCTTTACAGATGTTTTCTCATTTGATCCTCACAACAACCCTGAGAAGTAAGTGCTATTCTTATCCTTATTTTACAAATGGGGAAAATGAGGCAAACAGGTTAAGTGACTTGTTCAGGGTCACACAGCTAGTAAGTTTCTGAGGCCAAATTTGAACTTATGTCTTCCTGAGTCTAGGCCTAGTACTCTCTCTGCTGTGCCACCAGTTGCCTCTTATTTTTTACAGTGAAAACTTTGGATTATGGCTTTAGGAATTTAAGGAACTTTAGAGATCATCTAGTATGATGCTATTTTACAGATGAGGACACGGACCTGGAGAGGTTAAGTGGCTTGCTCTAGTACTTGAGTACTTGCCCAGTACTCATTCTGTTGTGCTATTCTGCCTTCATGTTGAGTCACTCTAAATTATTTTGGAGATTGGGGTAGAAGGGTGAATAGGGATGTTATGAGTAGGGTAAGGTCTGATTTTAGATCTCATGAATTATCTTTCCCTTCTATACACATTGACTTTGAGCTTAGTGGTATTTTTTTAGCTTTCTTTGCTCAGGGAGATAGATTAGGCCTTCTTCAACTATGGACAATAGATTTGTTTGTTTTTGTGAGAAGTACTTATCTGAGAAATGGGTGTCAGATTTTAATTTTAAAAGAGAGTCACTAAGGAGAAGAGTTAGCACCTCTTCTGGAAGGCTTCTAGATGTTTTGCTTTGTTTCTGAGCCATCTTCAGCCTCCAGTTCCTCCAGTCAGAAACCTCTGGTGTCCCTTTGATGACCATAAGTTCTCCATATAGGTCCTCACTGGTTGACTAGGGTAACCAAGCAGACCGTCCCATACCTCTTATAATTGCCACTGTCCCAATAACCCAGCTGTATTAATAGTCTCAAGTCTCTGTAAAAACTGATCGTAATCTTTTATAGTCTAAATTTTGTCTGTCCACAGTTCCCTAATTCCCCACTGAAACTATCATGTGCTTGATGATTAGCAAGATTAGGTGGAGAATGTTTGCGTTAATATCTTTTCCATAATTTTTTTAAAAAACTTTTTGTGGGGAGTGGGGATTCTGACCCCAACCCCAAATTCATTGGGAGGGTTAAGTAACTTGCCTACGGTTATATTATCAGTATGTATCAGGGGAACTTGAACGTTGTTTTTCCTGACTTCTAGGTGGCCTCTCTATTTCTCTCTTTTTTTTTTCACATTAGTCATGTTGTAAGGAAGAATTAGAACCAATAGAAGGAACCACAAGAAACAGGAAACAAAACAGAAAAAAAAAGAGCAAATAGTATGCTTCGATCTGCATTCAAACTCCATAGTTCTTTCTTTGGATGTGGATAGCATTTTATATCATGAGACTTTTGGAGATGTCTTAGATACTTGCATTGCTGAGAAAGGTCAAGTCTATCAATGTCAGTCATCACACAACATGGCTGTTACTGTGTACAGTGTTCTCTTGCTTCTGCTCACTTCACTCAGCATCAGTCCATACAAGTCTTTCCAGGTTTTTCTGAAGTCAGCCTGCTTATCATTTCTTATAGCACAATAGTATTCCGTTAGATTCATATACCACAACTTGTTCAGCCATCCCCCAATTGATGGACATTCCCTCGATTTCCAATTCTTTGCCACCACACAAAGAGCTACTATAAATATTTTTGTACATGTGGGTCTTTTTCCCATTTGCATGATCTCTTTGAGATACAGCCATGGTATTTCTCTCAAAAGAACTTAAACTGCTAACAATCTTAATACACACTTGTGTTGGTATTTTTAATCAGCAAGAACAGATGTTTATTTTGAAACTTGAAATGTTAGCATTATATTTTAAAACATACTTATCTATAGAAATTATAACTGGGCAGGATTTATGTACTCTGTGAGTAACAAGGAAATTTAGAGCAGAATAGGGAAGAAGTGTGTGGTGACAATGCGTTATTTCTGAAAGGTATTTTTCTCCTTCCCTATAATATCACCTTTGTCCAAAAGATGAGCATTAAGCATGTCTTCCATTTTTAGTCAAGGAGGTCCAAAAATTTATCTCTAGAAACTATCAGTGTTTCCTCCTGGATATTGAGGGTGAAAAAAGATAGTAGCTGAAGTGAAAAAGTCTGTAGGAGGTACGTTAATATCTTGCATTAACTCATGGAAGGCAAAGCTTTAGGTCCTTTAAGTAGTTTTCTGTAGCTAAGGATAAATTATCTTCTGTTTGCTGCCCTGCAAACAAAAAAAAAGTAGAAAAATTAGAGTAAGGAACAAATAACTTTTTAATCCTATACTTTACTAGTACTTAAAGGCAGTAATAGTAATCACCATTTGCAGCATTATTTTGTAATAACTTGAATTTTTTTTAAAGCCTCATCTGGCAGGGAAAACAGAATCAACTTAAAGATTTGTGACGTGGAAACTTTTTGTCTTCCTTAAAAATTTACATATGTCCCTGGGGGAAATTAGTTTCTAAAATGAGTAGGCTTATACCTACCATGTTTCACAACATACTCCATTCTGGACAGTTTTATAAAAGGATCCAAAGTTTATCCATTTTGCTGTCATTTAAAATTGAATTTCTCTTGCTGTGAATTTGGCATGTGTTCAGTCAAAACTTTCCTACTTGTCTGTATGTACTTTGGCTAGAAAACTATAAGTAGGGGGAATGCTATGCTTTATGATCTCTTTGATTTCAGTCCATCTTTTCTGTTTTCAGGAGTGAAGCTTTTGAAAGGAAGAGTAAAGATTTACAGGTCACATGTGATTCTCTAAACAAACAAATTGAGACAGTGAAAAAGTTGAATGAATCACTCAAGCAACAAAATGACAAGTAAATTTAATAGTTTTTTAAAAAAATTCTTATTTTCTTTAAAAAAAATTATTTACTTTTTAAAAAGTGATGTGATTTTTGTTTATTGCAATTATTTGTTTTTAATCATCAATAGTGGTAGATAAACTGCTTCTGGCCACTTGTTGACTCACTATATACAGTTACAATTTCAGATAAATGTTCTTTCTTTAGGACTTTACCTGAAATAGATCATTGAAAAGAAGTACCTTAAATAGGAAACCATTGACTATTTGAGAATTTTTTGTAATACTTTTAAAAAAAATTTCAGAACAATTGCTCAGTTAATGGAAACAGAAGAGCAAAGAAAAGAAATACAGAATCAGCTAGTGGAGAAAGAATGTGTAATAGCAAGTAAGTAAATTTTTGTTGTATGACATTGTAGTATTAAAATTCAGAAATAATTCATAAATTAATACAAATGTTTCCCTAGTTGTCAAGTCGAAAAATTTAGCCATTACCTGGGCTGGGTTTTTTCCTCCCCCAAATAAGTCAAGAATTATTTTATTCTACTTTCTCTTAGTTTCCAGTTTTGTCATTGACTTTCCATTAACCTTAAATCACATCCCTCATGATTTCTTCAGTGTATCTTTGTGCCAGTATGACAGGATATTAACAGTTGATTGAGATCTGCCAGTGCAAATGTTATATTCTTTGAATGGAGGAAAAAATCTAGTACTCTGCATAGATATTCACTCATACTTATATACATATACATAAAATGTCTTCTCAACAAACGTGATATAAGAAAGGTTGATACATATACATATACACATATATTCATATGCAAATACAGTTATATCTATAAGCATTGTTGTTTGGAAGGAGATTCAAACTGGTAATTGAAGTTCTCCATAGTATTCAGAGCCAAAGACAAAATTCCAGAGTCAAGATTAAGCAAGGGTACAGAGTACAGATTACAGCCTTTGGTTTGTCAAACAGAACAACAGTGACAAAGTATCTAGGTCTCCTTAAGAATAATTTTTTAAGTCATTAAATCTGATTTAGGTTACTGAAAAGAGGACTAATGTTAAGGATGAGTGAAAGAGATTTCTGCCTCTATCTAATCAGTACCCTCATTCTCTCTTTTGGGATATGAAAGTTTTTTCCTGAACTGGTGTTTAAGCTGGAGCTTGAAATGTACGCATTGACTTAGTTTCCCTTTAGAAAATAGGCAGGGCTAAAAGGATATTTTAAAAAGATTTCAGGCTAGGACAGTGTCTGATATGGGATAAAGTACTGATAAGAATTATTTCAATCAGATGATTTAAAATCACAATAGGACAGTGAGAAAATGTGATTGCTTTAGGTGTGTAAAAAAGAAAGTGGGGTTTTGAAGTGGGCTTAGTATGCTTTCACCAGAGTTTTGGGGGAAAATTCTTACATTGTGATGTTTAGTAGAAAGTAACAGCAGGTGGCAGTACTAGGTAACTTTTAGTTACAGCTACATAATAGTTTGTGTAAATCTGCCACAGAAAGAGCAGTCAATAAACACTGAGCAACATAGCATCTGGAACTGGAAAGGGACTTTAAAAAATCATCTGTTCATATCTCCCCACTTAGTGACCTGTCCAAGCTGGTACAGGTAATAAGTAGCAGTGTAGATTCAGACTTGAGTTGTCTGACTACAGATCTACTTGCACATTGCTTGCCCAATTTCCTTACCCTTGAAATGTCGCTACCCAGCTCAGACTCCTTTCTGAAATTATCTTTTCTTCTCTCCGTAATTCCCCTCACCCCTAGCTTCCTACATCAAAACTTTCTAGTAATTGTCTTTATGCTATATCTTGACTATACTTTGTGTGAAGGGAGGTAGAGGAAAGAGATGTAGCATTAACAATGAGGTTTGGATATGGGAGACTGGGAAGACTGGATGGGGTTGAAGTGGCTACTCCAACCTCAAGGAGAAAGTCCAGAACCAAACTAGTCCCTGCAGTCAAAAGTCAAAGAGATTAAAACTTAGGTCATTTTTTAGTTACATACAGCATGTCCATTGGTTAATCATGGAAGTTGAATGTCAGCTCTGTATTGCAGCAACTACTAGACTAGGTTGACTTGTAGTAGATAAGTAAAGCCCTTTTAAAAACTGTAGCCTTAATAGTTGAAAGGTCCGTACTTTATGACTGGAAATGATGAGTATACTAGTTTCTTCTGCTTTCAGACTCCATAAACCAACTCTAAACTTTCTCCATAGGATCACAGTTGATCATCCTGATTCTGTAATACTAACCAACCTTCTTAAGCCAGGCTTATCCTTCTAGCTTTCTCTTCTTAAACATGTATAGCAGGTAGACATATGCTTTCATGTTTGATAAGCACATAATCACTTTTAATCTCCATCATGATGATATCAGTGTTGAGATACCTGGACATAAAACAAATTCATTTTTTCTACAAATTTTTCTAAAGACTTACAACAAAAAACAAAGGCATATGAGGACAAACTGAGAACTCTGCAAAAAGAAAGAGAAGATAGGGAAGAAACTATTGAAATTCTGAAAAAAGAATTAAGTAGAACGGAGCAGGCAAGAAAAGAATTAAGCATTAAGGTAAGAATTTGTTAGAGTTATCACTTGCAGTCATTGGAGAAAAATTAGTGTGAAGTAAGGGAACTTTGCTGAGCCATTATCATATTTCTTTAGTAATTTGATTCTAGAAAGTGATAAAATCTTGAAATAGTTGGAATTTACAAAGAAAATTATTTCATGCAAGAGAAGCCTTTATAATATTATTAAACACCTTTAATTTTTTAGTAAAGCATTATATTTATAAAATTATTTTATGTTATACCATTTGCTTGACAAAGCTGGCTCTCTGAATCACCAAGTTAGAGGAAATAATACGAGGGAAGAAGATTCAAGAAGGGCTGAGAGGCAGTTGACTACTTAGGAAAGCCCAGCTGTTATTTTGGCTCCATCTGTCACTGCCACTCCTTGATGAGTAAGGGACACATTGGTGTGGTGTACCTTGGGACAGAGCACATAGTGAAGTGGTGAAAAGTTAAATTCAGATGCAAGTGACTTCAGCTCATGAAATTACATGTTATATGGTTCTCTTACTCTAATTGTGTGTGTGTTAAAAAAAAAAGTTGTTATAATGACTCAAAACCCATGACTTACTGCCTCCTTATATTGCCACTTATGTAAAAAAGGGGAGCTTGGAGCTCCTGCAGCTTGAAGCTCTCTAAAATCACTGTCCCACTAGAGTGCAGCTTTCTGGCCTGCCCATTGTCCTAGCCCTAGTCAGGCCAGAGTCTTGTGTGAGCTACTGCTGCCGTATTTGAATACAGTGAAGGAGCAAAGGTACAAAATTCAAGGTAATATTTGTAGTCACAGGGCTTTTTTGGTAATGCTTCAGTTCTACTGTATGAATACACACAAAGTGTATTCATTTACACTTTTCAACAAAATTTTATTTGTTTAGCATTGCCAATGTATGGCAGGTTTGAGTTTTCTTGCCAATACAGTAAAAACATTAATCATACATTAAAATTGGTATTATACCATCCAAATACATAGGCAGCATTTAATTAGGACTTCAAGGTTTGCAAAACACTTTACAAATATTATCTCATTTGATCCTTACAACAACCCTGGGAAGTAGATGTAATTATTGTCTGCATTTTGCAGATGAGGAAACGGAAGCAGGCTAATTTAAATGGCTTGCCCAGGGTCACACAGCTAGAAGTTTCTGAGGCTGGATTTTGAACTCAGGTCTTCCTCACTCCAGGCATGGTGCTTTATCTACAGTACAATCTAGTTTCCCTTCTGTTATAGAGGCTGTCATTCTTCTGTGTTCAGCAGGCATGGTCATTCTAACATATCCATTGGGAAAAAGCACGCTAAGCTGTACTTCTGTTCATCTCATAGGCTTCGTCCCTGGAGGTTCAAAAGGCACAACTGGAAAGTCGTTTGGAAGAGAGAGAGACTCTGGTAAAACAGCAGCAAGAGGAGCTGAACAAGCACTCTCACATGATAGCGATGATCCACAGCCTGAGTGGTGGAAAATTGAGTCCAGAGACAGTGAACCTCAGCCTCTAGCTGGCCAAGGGCTTGTGGGCTCATGGGGTGTGTGTGTGTGTGTGTGTGTCTGTGTATGTAGGTATTTATCTCTTGCCCCCCAGAAAAGGTCAATATTGACTTTAAAATGACAAGGAAAATTATTAACTATTTTCAGTCTAGTAAAGAACCTGATAAAATCCATGTGCGTAATGTTTGACCTTTTGAGTGGAACAAATTAAAACACTTTTCTGATGATTTTATTCTGACCAAACTGAGAGGCATCATGGCATAGTGGATAGAGGACTGGCGTTGGAGTTGGGAAGACCTGAGGTCAGGTCCTGTTTTTGACACATATTTGCTGTGTAACCTTGGGCAAGTTACCTAACCTCTCAGTGCCCTCCTATAGAAGTCATAAAATATGAATTATAAACAAGTTGCTAATCTACAACAGCTTTCCACTGATGAAATTACAGGTCTGGAGCAAAAAAAGAAAAAAAAATGGTTGACTTTATGGATGCAGTAATTGCTGTTTTGACTCTTTATACTTATTTTCTTCCCTTTCTCCATTTTTTAATGCATTGCTCTAAATGCAAGTTAAATGCATATTTTTATCTCTAGTCAAGGTATAGAAATTTAAAATGTCTTAGAATTTTAACCAAATCAAATGCATTTGAACAATTCATAAATTATAACATGTTAGCCTAGTAATGGCTATTTTAAGATATAAGGAATAAATACATATATGTATTTATGTGCACACATATATACAGTTTTTAAACTTATATGGCATTGATGTCTACAATAAGGTGCTTTGAAAAATATTCTATATATGTATGCTGTGTTGTTCTTGGTGAACATATTTAGAGAAAGTTTGCATTTTAAATATATGTATTTTATTTATTACACAAAACAAAATAGAATTACTCTTGACCAGGGTTTTGCCCAAGGCCTGGGGAGAAAAGCCCAAGGCACTAGGAAGAATCAATCATTGAGCTTCAGCAGAATTTAAAGGATTACCTAGCTCACGGCCTCTATTACTCTGGGTTTAACACTTATACTATCATACTTTTAATTCTAACATCCATGACCATTTCCCCCAAGTTTTTCCCATTTCAGAAAGGGATATATCTAAACCATATGAGATGGTAGTTTCCTTTTTCTGTAGATTTCAGGGACAGAGATGCCACATCCTTTTTTGATAGGCTGTAGGTCTTCCATGTGCCACAATTTCAGCTCATTTCTCCCTGTTGTGTTTTCATTAGGTAAAGGTAAGCTTTTGATGTGTATAATATTAATCACTGCTTATCTTCTTCCCCTACCCACATCTTTCTGATTTTTCTATCCCTTGTTAGGATTCTCTCTTCTGTTTTCGAAGAGACCAAGAAAAAAAAATAACCCAAATGTGTGTTGGTTATGTGATGATTTTCAGTTACTTCTACAACTGAAGGCAGCATCAGCCAAGTCAAACATTAGTTCTAGCCAAAAACAGTTTTGTTTTGCTTGCATCCTAAAGCTCAAGACTTCAGTTTTATGTTTTCTTATCAGTAATATTTTTAACATTTTTGAACAATTAGTTAAATATATTTTTCTAAATTTTCCTCTTGTATCCCTTCACTGATAACTACAGATGGATTGAAAAAATGTTTCCTGGACAAGAAAAAACCCCCACCAACCCTCAGTAATGATTTCTTTGTCAGTATTTGAACTAATAACACAACTCCTTTTACCTTCTTAAGAATTTTATCAGTATTAAAACAACTTTATTTTTGTCTTTAAAAGATGAGATCTTTTTTCTGATATGACATTTCTCTTTTTGGCACTTCTGACACCTATTCCATTGCTATGTGCATATTAGAGGTTAAGAAGCACTCATGAAAGACATTGTAGCAGGGAAAAATAATGATTCAGTTTATGCCTTACGATTCTATTTGCACGACTGTTGTGAAGACTTGTATTTTTAGAAGCCATAGTAAATGAAAAATGGCCTCTAATTTTCCCTGTGCTTGCTTTAGATCCCAGACTTAGTTGCCAATATTTCTAATCAGGGTTAATGCCTTGTTTTAAATATTACTCTTTAAAATAAATGTGTAACTATAATCATAATTAATTACTTTGTTCCTGTTGTAGATAGTAGGTGGTATTTAAGTTTGGAGTTTTTTTTTTAAAAGAACAGACTCAAATCATATACAGTCTTATTAGCATTTTTGTCGAATTCTTTCTTACTCCAGAGATATGAAAATTTAAACTAATCCTTAATTTGAGGTGGTTATATTTAGGGCAGTATATTTTGAAGTCAGTAGGTATAGATCTTTTAGTTGCATTTTGATTTCTTGGAAATTCCACTCCTGATCTGAAATGGGGACACAGTAGACATAGATAAAGCATGTCTCTGATCACAGTTTATTTCAAGGAAGCCTTCTCATTTCTTTGTGGTAGCCCTGAGATTCCATGAAATAAGATGAAAAGTTGGCAGACATGGCCAGGAAAAGTTTCTTAGCTTATTCATTCACCTGATTGTGACGATAAGACTGAATTGCCGGGAAAATAATTTTGCTGCAATTAGGCAGACATCTAGCCCTGCATGTCTTCGTGCTCTTTATCCCTGCCATTCTGTAGTTGGAATTTCAGGATATAAAAAGCATTGTAGAAGAGTTATACAATATCATAATTTAAAAACCACTGAAGTGGATCATAGTCTTTCTCTATTCTTGGTAGTTAGAGAAGTATAGTAATAGGTTTTTACAGTTATCAAGATACTGAGGAGTTGATACCAGGGAATCACAGGTTTCTCACTTTTGGAAGTGTCTTTCAAGAAGTCAGTTGGGATGCAATTCGATGATATCAAGCCTCCATTATATCTTTCAGATGCATGTTTATTTTCATGGGCTATATGCAATCCTAAATATCAAATTCACTGCATACAAGCTGAAATTTGCTCCCATTGGGGATGGCTTTTTGGTGCTCAAATCAATAGACTTAATCATATCACTTCAAAAGAATTTCATTATGTTTTGGCAATATTTGTGTGTCTCCATTAAATCTGTGATTGAAATTGTGTTTCCATCAGGCATTTTGTAGTAGTGGTGTTTATAAAACTGCTGACTTGAAGGTAGATGTTAAGTTTATAGATAATATGCCAGATAAATGGTACTGAGATGTTGAAGAGAAAATTAAATGTTTTATAGAAAGAGAACATTTCAGAAGTTCATATCAAGTTTAATGTTCTCTTTTCAGGAAAAGTTTTACAGAGCAGATTGGCTTGATCTAGCTATCTCAATCACTGACTAGAATTTTTCCCTTTCTAAATACTTTTTACCCAGCTGAATAACATTTAATTCATTCTGCATTATTCCCTGGCCTCTTCCTGAAATGTTGTATCCTAAGGAGAGAAGAAGAGCATGATAAAGTTTCATCACATCGTTACTGAAATCTTCAAAGCTTTGTTTGAATTTGAAATAGCAAAAATATAACTTAGAAAGTTAGAGGTGGTTTTTTTTGTCTCTCTGAGGTCACTGACTTTTAGCATAGTGCCCATCATTCCAGTGCACATATAAGGATGTTTCCATTTCTGTGATTTATCCGTGCATAGTAGATAAGTCTACAGATCTACATGACTATTAACTTGTAGGTGAAAATTTTAGTTAAGACTAGAAAATTAAAAAACCGAAACAAAACCCATAACCAAAAGTAGAATTAAAAACACAAATGTTAGTTCACTCACTTGGGATGCATATTGGCTAAATGATTGGTAACAGTCCTTTTAACACTGATTAAAGGGAAAAATTTGGGACTGGTATTTCCCTCCTTTCTCACCATACTTATATGGAAAAATTCTGTACTGACACTGTAAAATAATAGCCTTTTTCAATAAACAGGATCCTCTTTAAATGTTTCATTAGTTCAAATAAATTGTTTTTATGCTTATAATGATATTTAATAAACTATTTCAGTATATTTAAATGTTAACTACAGAATGATTTTTTTAGAATAGCAGACTTAATCATTATTTCTATATAATTGTATTTCTTAAAGTTATGTAAATTCTTACTCCTGTTAGGATTGGTGATTGGGGAAGCAATAACTCTTCATCCAAGAATTTTAATTTATTTTTAAAAGACAAACTTGGGCTATGTTATCAGCATTGTAAGGATGGGTCAGAAAAAACAAGGAGTAATTTGCCCAGTGTAGTTTTTTAAGTAAGTGCCTATTTGAGGATTAAAACCAGTTATGACTCTTCTTTCTCTTAATTATTGGTACCCAATCTTGAAGTAACTTGATGGATTAGGGTAGCTAACCTGATATCAAGTTTAACTTAATGTAATATCAGATATTTTATTCACTATGTTATAGCCAAATACAATTATAAAAGTAAAATACTTTGTACTGATTGGCAAAAGAAATAGCCCTCTCATTTCAAACATTAATTAGGCTCAAAGTTGAAGAGTGCAGGAATTTTCCATACTTAATGGTGTACCCAAGTATCTTCAATAACTGTTGACATCTAATTCAGTTTGACCCCTCAACAAAGCTGCTGTTTTATGTCAAGACTCCCGTCTGCACATTAAAATTTAATGAGTGTTATTTCTTGAGGCTTTAAAAAAAGTCTATTTGTATTTCATGTACATGTCCTCAAAAAGATTAAGGGTAAATGACATTTTTGGCCAGAAGAGAGCATTAGTTCTCAAGCTTGGAAAATAGTATCTGTAATGAAAGATCTTTGCCCCCAATATGGTTTAAGGTATGCTTAAAAAAACAGGTTATGTAGAAACAGTGTTAAAATAGAAAAGACAGAGATATGGAGCAATATTCAATCCAGTCAATGCACCTAGCAAAATCAAAGGTGCCTAGCAAACAGCATTCTTTTCAAACTCTATGCAAAAGATTGTGAAGGATGCTTATGTATAATTCTTAAGAAACTCAACTGGTTAAGCTTGAAAGAAAATGCCACAAATCTATAGTTTTGTAATGAAATTTTTCTTATAATAAAATGTCTCTATCCATATCCTTCCATGTTGATCAGCAAACTTCCGTGTTGAGAACATTACCACTCTTCTTGCAGCTCTCCTCCAGAAGCCTATTGAGTTATTCCAGTCAGGTGGTTGAGCTGTCTTCTACTTTTGATTATCCTTTCCAGCTCTCCCCCTTTGTTAGCTTAAATAACGCTGTTAATGTCCTCCATATATAATATTTTAAAGCATTATAGGGGCAGCTAGGTGTCATAGTGGATAGAGCACCGGCCCTGGAGTCAGGAGGACCTGAGTTCAAATCCAGACTCAGACATGTAACACTTACTAGCTGTGTGACTCTGGGCAAGTCACTTAACCCCAATTGCCTAACCAAAAAAAAAAAAAAGAAAAAAAAGAATTATACACAATATAGTCTTAAGAATTGGAAAGTCATCTACTGCAATTTCCTGTTCAGTACAAGGGTATTTTCAACATCTGTGACAGATGGTTGTCTAGCTCAAACACTTTGCTTGATGAGAGAGATAATTTTGAATGTAGTCCATTCCATTATTGAACAGGTCTAATTACTGGGCCATTCTTCTGTGTATTGAATCTGTTTCCCTCTAATTTCTACATATTTGTTCCTAGTTCTTCTCTCTACGTAGCATAATAAGACTTTGTATTTCCTTTGACTGCCTGTTAAGTAATTGAAAACAGTTATCAGGCAGTTTCTACCACTTTCTGTCTTTGCTGGATCTTCAACTAGATTTTGTTGTTTTATTGTTCAGTCATGTCTGATTCTTCATGACCCCATTTTGGGTTTTTGTGGCAAAGATACTGGAATGGTTTGCCATTTCCTTCTCCAGCTCATTTTACAGATGAGGAAACTGAGGCAAACAGGATTAAGTGACTTGCCAAGGGTCACATAGCTATACATGTTTGAGGCTGACTCTAGGGCCAGCACTCTATCCACTGCACCCACCTAGCTGCCTAACAGCAACATTAGGCATATTTCTACTGCTTTCTGTCTTCTTTGCTGGATCTGCCCCTACTTATCCTTCCAATCTTCTTATACTTTACTGCCCTCCATAAACATATTCTGTGAGTTATCCAGTTTTTCAAAGAACTTAAATTTGTGCATTTCTGAGGGATTTTAAACCCAGCAGAAACGGTATGTAATCTTATAGATACATAGCACAAGGACTGTTGTGTAACGGCCAGTGTTGCATAAAAGAGTGACATTTTCCAAGTATTGTGAGTTTACAAAGTAATTTATGATATAGCATTTCATGTTATTAAAAACATTTTCTAGTAAGTAGCTGAACTCTTGCCTGGATTTAGCCGGGAATGTGGATTCCTTCCATCACGTTATCTAAGTTGCTCTTCCAAGAGTTGTACTTCAACTGTCATTTCCGGAATAGCCAACAAGTCCAGTAGGCTTTGAAGAAAGCATAAGGCTACTCTATTTTTAAACTACAAAGGATCATGGCAAGCCCAGGAAGAAGAAAACACTTGATTTTCAATTAAGCTAGATTTTGAATTACGTGGCTGGGGCTGCCTCCTACATACTTATTTATATAAAGTTCATGATTATAAAATAATAGAACATTGAGCTGTGAGGGAACCTTAGAGATCAGTAGTTTAATCCCTTATTTTGCAGGTGTAGCTGCTTTTAAAAAAACTCAAAATTAGAAATTGGTTTGCTGGCAGATTTGCCTATACATTCTTTTCCATGGATGAGTGAGATGTTACTGTTTAATGATTCCTTTATATTATATTTTAAATTATTTTGAAATTCTATAAGGTACCTTAGAAGATTTGGAATTGAAAGCTGTTTCTGTTACTTTCATTACTATAATGGCTTTTTATCATTTCCTCATCCAGTTCCTTTGTTCTTGTTTCCTCTTTTACTCTGACAAATGAAACCAACACTATTGTGGTGGAGCAGAAAGTAAATGTTAAGGAAATAATCTCCCAGGCAAGGAGCTTATGCAGGCTTCCTGCAGTGATAAAATTTGCATGAAGGATATTAATAGAGGTTGAATTTTTTTTTTATTTGCTAAACATT